CACCGCCGCCTTGTACGGCGGGGTCCTTTTGGTCCTTTTGCCCGGACGGGGCGGCCGTCGTGCGTCCGTCCGCGAGTCGGCGAGACCGCGCGCTGCTAGCGTACCGGCATCGTACCGGGCACCGCCGTACGGTACACGCGTGACTTCCAAAACCAGACCGCTTAGACAACGACAACGTGCAGCGCGCAGCCCAGTGCCTTACTTAGGCACGCCATTAAAAACTAACAAGGGCAGCGCGCCAGAAATCGGCCGCTCCTCGGCGATTTTGCGCGACTTTACGCGACTCTAGCGCCCCCTGGCGGAGGGAGGGCGGAGCGGCACTCGCACTCAGCGGCGGGCCCGATTTCCGCATAACCGATCTCAGAACTTCGTTGTCGTGCGTGGCACAACCTAACCTACCCTTACGCATCCTAAACAAAGCCAAGCTAACCTAACTGGCCGACGACGAGACACCGACTCCCCGATTCTGGCGCCGGCCGCCTCAAGCTTGGAGAGCCACTCCACTGCGGGACTGGCGGGGCAGGCCGGGCAGGCCGGGCAGGTGGCTGCAGTTACGGCCGATCCGTAATCGCTGCCGCAGTTAAACACAGGAAGGAAAGGAATCGTTAAATCGATGCGTTTGTTCGCGGACGGCGGACCAGCACATGCAGCGGGCTGAATCCGAGGCGCGCTCACCGTCTCTCTCGCGCCCCAACGGGACGCCCCACGCGTGCGAGAGAGACAGCAAGAGGCTCAGTTATTCGGAATCAGCCCGCAGGGGAACAAAGACGGGCCCGGCCGGGTCGCTGCCGGCCGCTCGCTCGCTCTGCCCGGCTCTTTTGCTTTTTCTTTGATCTGCACACCCAAAGTTTGAAATTCCCGCCCCGCCCCGCCCCGCCCCGACCGGCTTTTGTCGGACGGAGACGCCGCTCACAGGGGCTCGTGGGGGCAATGCGCTACGCCGTCGGAAAACGCCGGGGAGTCGCAGAGGTGCAGTGGTCTCTCCTTCGGGTGGAGACACCTCGAGCTTCGCAAACAGTTAACAATGAGTTTTGATTTTGATTCTTTTTTTTGGAAGTTGTCCCGTTTGACGAGCCAATCGGCTTGGTGTGGACGCCCTGGGGGCGCCCCGGGGCCGCCGCGGCTTCCTCCTCGAGCCTGGAGTCCCGGAGCGCACCGTGCAGTGCAGTGCCATACCGCGGCGGGCCAGGCGGCCTAGGCGATCCGATCGAAACACGCAATAAATCGATACGTCGATAAAACGATACATCGATACATCACGCGAGGGGCCTCTTTGTTGCGAGGGGCCACTTCGGGCGCGCGTGACGTTTCGATTGCCACCGAGGGCCTGAGGCGGCCTGAGGCCCTGCCCGAGGCGCCCGAGGCGGCCCTCCGTCTCTCCGGCCCGTGAGTGCGACAGAGACGGAGCGGCGAATGCAACCCGCTGCAGCGCGGCGTGCAACAGTGTAACAGGGACCAAGGATGGGATCGTTGAACCGCGGACACGCCCTTCATCCTTTATTTCGTGGAGGAGCCTAATTATCGGCACACAGGGCCAAGGCCTCTCTCTCTCCTCTCTCTCTCTCTCTCTCTCTCTCTCTCTCTCTCTCTCTCTCTCTCTCTCTCTCTCTCTCTCTCTCTCTCTCTCTCTCTCCTCAACGCGGCGCCCCGTCAGTGTGAGAGAGACGGAGCGACGAAGTTGGCACTGCAGGAGCCTGGTGGGAAACAGAATGGAAGTAATGTGTGCTGTGACTGCCTTGCCAGGTAAAAGTTTTAAAATGTTTTTTTCGGCAAAGAAATTTAATTTTTTGAATTGACTTTTTGTTCTCTGGGGGTGAATCGCATTTTAAAACTCGTAAGGCCTGTATACATAGTGAAGACAAAGTGGCGGGCCTGCCTGCCTGCCTGCCCGGCGGGGCGACTCCGGTCAAGTTTGAGTTACGACCTCTCGGGACGACTTCCCCGCCGAGCGCTGCAGCGCGGCACGCTAGTCCATAAACCGCGGGAACCAATGCAGTGCTCTGTCTCTCTCGCACACCTACGCGACGCCCCGCGAGTGCGAGAGAGACAGAGCGACGAAAGCAAACTCAGCCTGCCGACGGCGCAGGGTGGGGCACCCACTATCGAGAGACGCTCCGATTGGCCAGTGTCGAAATCGAAAATGAAAACGAGAAGAAGAGCAGGATCTGTGCTCTCCTTGTCTCTGTCGCACTCATGGAGCGTCCCGCCAGAGTGCGAGAGAGGGGGGGGGGGCTCATCGGTCGCTGTTCGCCGGGCCGCCGGGCCTACGGCTGCGCTAGCTGGGCAAGCCGCGCTAGCCGCCAGCCCTGCTCCGGGCTTCGCTGGGCTTCTCTGGACTTCGCTGGGCTTCGCTGGGCTTCGCTGGGCTTCTCTGGACTTCGCCCGGCTTCGCTGCGAGTCGGGCTGTACGCTGCACGTTGTCAGTCACATGGTCACGGTTCAGCGGCCTGCGGCGGCGGCCCGGCGCGGCGGTGTTCGGTTACTGAGAAAAAACACGAAACGAAATAAAAACGCGTTTTACAGCATATTTGACCAGCCGGCCGTGTTTTTAGCCGGCAGGCTCGCCGCTGTCTCATAACACGGCAGAAACACGAGCGCGCTGTTAAAATTGAAAGTTGGGTGCGCGCGGCGGTCTGCGCAGCGATACGCTCCGGCGTCCGAGGTTAAAGCCCTGCCGGGCCTGCCGGGCCTGCCGGGCACTGCCAGGTGGGGACGCGACGCGTGGGCGGTACGGAGGGAACGGACGCCACGGCACGTCACGGCACGTCACGTGACGAGGCGGCGTCACGCCGATAGACAGCAGTAGTCACAATCCGGCCCCCGCATCCCGTCCGGCCGATTTACCTTGGGCCTAAATCCCCTGTCTGTCTGTCTGTCTGTCTGCCTGTCTGTCTGTCTGTCCTGTCCGTCTGTCTGTCTGTGGGTGCTTCCTCTGGCGCCGCTGGCACAGGAAACAGCTCTCGGCGTGGACCGTGGCCACCTGTGCGTGCCGCGGGGCTATCTCCCTCTTTCCCTCTCTTTCTCTTTCTCTTTCCACCGCGCCGCCAACGCCGCCATCGTCACCACACGCCGCAGCCGGCGCCGCGACACTGGTGGACACGCGCCGGGGAGCCGCCCAGGGCGTGCTTGCAGTGCAGTGGGCACGCCGAGCACGGCGGCGACGGGGTTCGTGAACCGGCACTGCATCGGGTAATGACTGCAGCGAGGCACTCTCTCGCCGCTCATTCCGAAAGGGCTTTATTCGGTGTCGCTCTGTCTCTCTCGCACTCGCGGGCCGTCCCCTAGGCCGCAGGGGGTGCGAGAGAGACAGAGCGCCACAGGACGTCGGTGACGGCCAGCGCCTTCCATCCCGCACGCACCTCTTGCAAAAGACCCCCCCCCCCCCTCGTGGGCTTCCGGCCTGGATGTGTTGGTTGGCCGCCAGCCCCGCGTAAAGTTTTTACCACCCGAAGCAGCCGATAAGCAGGTAGTTAAGGCGGCTGCGAACATCCTCTCGAGAAACCCTTCTCGCGACGCGGGACGGATTTCGGACGTCAGATTGATCCCGTTCATCCCGTGCATCCGTCTTCGCGGCTTCCCGCCCGGCGGGCAGGCCGCCCGGTGGCACGGCTGCGTGGAGCTGCAGCGGCTGCCTACCCTGCACGGCGTCTCTGTCCTGCTCTCACCCGCGTGTTCGACCGGCCCCGTGGCGCCTGGGAAAGGAGCAGCCATTACGGAACGCAATGGTCCCGAACGCCCCACAACGGGCTGGCGGCGTCTCGCTCGCACTGCCGCGGCCCCGCTGCGGCCCCGCTGCGAGTGCGAGAGAGACGGCAGACGGCACGACATAATGGCTCGTCATAAGGCGACGAAAGGCGAGGCGATGTCGCCGGCCGTCGATGTGGATCGCCGCTCCGCCGCTTTCCAAGACGATTCCCGGCCGGCATGCTGCCTTGGTGTCGTCGTGCCTCGCCCGTCCCGCCAGCCCGCCACGGCCGGTCATCACAGTGTCACGGAGCCGGCGGAGCCCAGTGTGTTTCTAGGTCGGAATCGGACCATCGGACCGGAGTCGCGGGCCCGGTCGGCGACCGAATCCGAATCGGGGATCGGATCAGGGTGAAGGCACTTCTGCAGCGTAGCAGTGTCCATACGACTGAGAGTTGGTTCCAGTCTCCGAATCGTCTTGGACAGAGGAAATGCCCTTTGGCAGAATAAATGTTTTCGGGTAGAAGAAGTGGTTTTCGGCAGGAAAAAAAAACTCGGTTGCCCGGTCCCTGACCCGCCATGCTCCATGCTGGGTCCATGTGAAGTGAGATGTGACGGCCGTACCGCGGCTAAAGCGAGCTAGCCCACACGCTGACTCTTTTCGGTTTGCTGGTCACACCACGCCGCGCCACGCCACGCCGCTTGGTTTCAGCGTAAAATGTAGGCCAGCGACTTTTGCATCGGGAAAAGTATAACTCGGCAGTCCTCCACTAAAAAGGCCCGACGGGCCGGTAACGGTATGCAGCAGCGCCAGCAGCCCCTATTATGCACTATGCGCCGTGTAGTGCGCGGGCTGCCCGCGTCGCTCCGTCTCTCTCGCACTCGCGCGGCGCCGCGTGAGGGTGCGAGAGAGACGGCAGTGTGCCAGTGTGTATAACAAGGCCCGAGATATTCATTATTCGCAGTCCTGCCGGCCCTTGGCTGGCCCTTGGCCATTGGCTGCCGTCGGCCTGGCCAATAAGTGTCCCTTCATCCTCGGCGTCCTCGACATGCACGGGGGGAGTTCCAGGTTCCAGGTTTTAGGAGGCCGCCTCGCTGGAGTCGCTGGACGGGGACCGACGGGGACCCATTAGGGGTAAATCACGCGTTGTCCGCGGATAGGCGAACCAGCTGGAGCCCCGCCTCCCCGCCATGGTCACTTGCCCAGGTTGACGGCACCGCTTTGTCCGGCCGGCCCACCCTGTCGTCGCTGTCTCTCTCGCTCTCGCGGGGACTGCTAGCTGACCGGCATGTCACCCTCCTTGTCCGTGTTGCAGAGGTCCGCGCGCTGTCCGCCGAGCCCGACTTCCGGCAGGTCTCCCTGCACTGGCTGTACCCGCGCCGCGCCTCGGACCTCTTCGCCTTCCGCCTCGACTACTGCGAGCTGCAGGCCTGGGGCGTCAACCGGTGCCGCACTAAGGTGAGCCGCCACTCTTTTATACTACCTAAAAGTGTTTCCTGTCTAACGAACCCTGTGCTCCCGCAGATGGTGGACGCCCCTCCGAGGCCGGCCGTGGTGTCGGGGCGCGCGGCCCAGGGCGGCGAGGACCTCTCCGAGTACGGCGCCGTGGTCACGGGGCTGCGGATGGCCACCAACTACACGTTCAGCGTGGCGCCCGTCGAGGGGCGGCTGCAGCAGCTGAGCCCCCGGAACCGGCACGCCAGGACCATCATGGCGCCCACCAAGGGCTGTGAGTGGCCAAAGATTCCGTTTCGTTTGCAACGATTTGCACAGGCAAGCTAACCCCTTCCTCGCCCTTCTGTCCAGTCTCCGCCCGCGCCACGCTGTGCCTGCCCGACGTGTCCGAGGTGGAGGTGCACACCGGGCCGCACTTCAGCGGCCGCATCGCGGTGGAGGCCAACGAGGACTCGACGGCGCCGCCAGTGTCCGCGTGGCGGCGCGGCGACGACGGGGACCCCGAGGCGCGGGGGCTGAGCGGGCTGGGCGGGCTGGGCGGGCTCAGCGGGCTGGGCACCAAGGCCGTGGACGAGCCGTGCGCCGTGGCGGGCGACGCGTCCAGCCCCAGGGAGTCGTACACGCTGAGGATCGACCACCGGCGCTGCGGCAGCCACGTGAACCGCTCCACCGTGGCCACCTTCATCCTGGTGCAGGAGAACCTGCCCATCCTGACGCACTCCACGAGGAGGTTCCTGGTGCTGTGCACCTTCCAGCCCGACGCGCTCATCGTGCGAGCGGGGTAAGCCGACCCTCCGTGGAGACGAAGTCAAATCGTTCTCCGTTGCTGATTTTTTTTGTGCTGTTGCTTGCAGTATCAGCCTGCCCACCGTGCACGGCGAGCACCGCAACCGGGAGGACCTGGGCGAGCCAGCGCACGGCAACCAGCTGGGCGGCGGGCGCGGCGCGGCCACGGGCGTGGGGGTGGGCCCCGCGGACGTCATGGCCTACCAGCTGCAGCAGGGCCTCGAGGGCGACGAGGACGTGCACGCCCTGGGGCTGACGGTGCCGTCGCACGGCGTCGCCAACCGCCAACAGCGCAGGCACGCCGGCCGCGCCCTGGGCCTCGGCCAGGACGGCGATGGTGAGTGAAGCTAGCAGCTAGCAGCCCGCGCGGCAGGCAACCCGACGGGACGCCTTCTCGGCGGGCGGCCTACCCCGTCGATGACAGGCGCTAGACCGAGGGCGAGAGCACACACTTACAACTTTGCCCTTCCTCCTCGCAGACTCCCCCGAGCACGGCGACGCGCACGAGGCCCAGGTCGTCCTAACCAGCGTGCTACTCGTCAGCGGCGTCGTCTTCCTGGCCGTCGCGGCCTGGTGGTTCGCGCCGCGTAGAAAAGCGACCGGCGAGGACGGCGCGCTGACTGACGACTCGGCGTCCACCGTCTCCGTGTACCAGAACTACGAGAACTCGCTGCGGGACTCGGACTCGTACTCCAGCATCGGCACGGTGGGCACGGTCAACAGCAGCATCCTGAGCACGCTGTCGCGCCACCACTGGGCCTACGCCACGCCGGCCTCGGAGCTCGCCGGCGACGCCAAGGCCACTGCCAAGGCCAAGGCCGCCCTCAAGGACGACGAGTTCGGCGAGGTGCGGCCGAGGTTCGCGGACGACAACGAGCAGCCGCCGTCCAGCCTCGTGTTCGCCATCCGCCTGCCAGACACCACGGGGGCCGTCGCCGTCCTGCCCAGGGCCACGGCCCCCGTGGTGGTGCCCGGCGACAAGACCAAGAAGCAGGACGCCGTGTCCGTGTGCTCCGTGTCCATCGGGGAGCCGGAGAGCATGTCCTCGGACGCCTGAGGGGAGGGACTCCCATGCGAGGACAAATCCAACCGCTCAGCCACCGAGCCCCCTCTGCACCCTCGGCCGTGTATGGAAAGGGTTTTTCTCGTCGCGATAGCCGAGAGGAAGTGGGAGGCTTTGTACGATTGGTTGCCCACCTCTCCGGCGCCAACTTCCGTCACCGTCACGCATTTACTGCCTTATGTTTTTGCATGCTCGTTAAAGACTTTAAAAAAATCTTGCTTATTTTATCTATGTGTTAGTGGATGTGCCCCGAAAAAGGTACTTGTTCCTTCAACAACTAATGTGCCTGATTAAGTGGCTCTTTTGTGATATGTCAGTAGTTTAACATTTTGTCTGAATGTGATACACCAGCCTTTTCAAAGCTTTGTGGAGTCACTTTAAAACGTCTTACTGTTCAACATGTGGCAAATTTGTAGCCAGTATCTTCTCCATTATCTTTGGCATGGGGCATAATCTAGAGGCAAGAGTTGATCTCTAGAATTACTTTTACAGCTTTGGTGTTGGATTTCTCTTTTCCCCCCCATTTTGGTTAAAGAAATACTCTAACTAACAACTTGTAGATTGAGAATTATTTACTTCCAGAAGCAACTTTTACGTATTAACAAAGTATTGTTCCATTGATAATGGAGAATTTACGCTCGTACATAATAATGCCCAATTTACTGAGATATGCGCTATTTATAGATAAGTGTAGTTATGATGATTTGTCAAGCTAATAATATTGTGAATCAAAATAAAGGAATTCTGATTTAATTTAAAAAAACACAATCCCTAGTTTTTATTTGTATTTCATCCATATTTCATTCATATTTAAAATAAGGATTACAAAACAAAAAAAAAACATGCAAGTGTACAATATATGTTTGACCAATAAACTTGATCTAAGGAGATCAACATTAATAATAATAAAAGATTTTGCAATTGAACACAACAAATAAAACTATCAAAACCAATTACTAATCAAAGTTTTACAAAGAGTGAGGCAAACCACATTTATGCCATATCACTCTGAATCTGAACTAAACACTGCCTTGATGCGCTGAAAGTTGTTCTTCAATGGTGGAGTTTTGCTTGCTGATTCTTCAATGTTCTCCTTACTTCGGAGAGCTCGCCCATCTGAAATTATTTAAGTAAGATTGAGCACGGGTATGAAACTAACAGAACTCCAGTGCAGTGCAAATAAAAAGCACAAATACAGGGAGAACATACTTTTATTTAAAATTATGTTTGAGCTCAATTCCTCCAGTTCCTTTTCTTCTTCCTTCTTCTCCTTATACTGTTTACACTTCAGTAAACTCAGCTGGCCTGTAATTCAAGACAGGGTTAGAAACACAATTTGTCAGAGGATACAAAATAAAACAGACAAATATCACATTACCTTTAATCCCAGCATCTTGAAGCACTTGTTTGATTTTTGTTGCTCTCTCTTTGTTATTCTTGCAGCCCTCCCACAACTTAAGGTATCTGGCATTGATACCAGCTGCTTTAAGAAATTTCTTCAGACGAATGATTTTGGGGTCTTTGTGAGGATCCTGAAAGTAAATTTATTTAAAAATAAAAATGGATTGGATTAGATTAGTAAAAAATGAAGAAGAAGAATGACTATGAAACGTGTTTACCTCATCAGCATTTGGCGATTTTTTCTTATTATTGTTCTCTTTGCTGGCTTTACTTTTTATATTGGAGCTGGCCTTTGGCTTCAAATTGGTTTCGGTGTCTAAATCTGAATCTGGACCAGAATCAGAGGTAGAATCATCATTATTGGATGCACCTTTCTTATTGGAGCTGGTTTTAGGCTTTAGCTTAGTTTTGAAGTTGGAATCAGAATCCGAACCAGAATCTGAGGTAGAATCTTTGGAACTGGCTTTGCTTTTCTTGATGGAGCTTGTCTTTTGCTTCATTTTGGGGCCAGTTTTCGAGTCTGTATCAGAATCCGGACCAGAATCTGAAGAAGACTCTGTGGAACTGGCTTTACCTTTCTTGACAGAGCTAGTCTTTTGCTTTATTTTGGGGCCAGTTTTCGAGTCTGTATCAGAATCTGGACCAGAGTCAGAGGTGGAATCTTCTCTTTTGGCGCTGGTTTTTCCCTTTAGTTCACTTTCAGATTCTGGACCAGAATCGGAACTGGAATCATCCTCACAGGATTTGTCTTCCTTCGTAGGGCTACTCTTTGGATTGGTTTTGGAGCTAATCTTGGAATCTGAAGCAGAATCAGAACCGGAATCAGAGGTGGAACTATCATTAGTAGGTTTACTTTTCTTGCTGGCGATAGTCTTTTGCCTAGTCTTTGATGTAAGAGCATTTTTGTTGCTTTTGCCAGAATCTTCACCAGACAATCTCTGACCACTTTTAATTTGAGAAGCTGGACTAATCTTCTTGGTCTTATGACTATTTGGCTCCTCAGAATCTGATTCAGACGAGGAGTCGAAGCTCTCTTTGTTTACAGATTTGAGACCTCTCCTTTTTTTAGATTCTGGACTGATCTTCCGGCTTTTATTGCTAATTTTCCCCACAGAATCCGATTCAGATGATGAGTCTGACTTCTCCTTCTTCTCAGAATTTTTAACTCTCCTTTTTGCAGATTCTGGACTGATCTTGCTGATCTCCTTCAAAGAGTCTTTACATGTCTGTGGTGGCATCTTTACGACAGATGATTTAATGTCCGTTAACTGAACTTTAAGGTCTTTGGACACAACCAAGGCAAGAGGTAAATCAGACGAAGATTCATCTTCCACACCAACTTGCGAGTCACTGGGTGTTTCCATGTCTTTATCTTCATCAGAATCACTGTGAAGTTCTAAATTAAAGTCAGCGCTGTCCGCACTACTATTCATAAGGGCACTTAAGTCTTTCTTGACTTTCTCACCGTTATGGCACTGTTTTTTGGAAAGCGGTTTTGAGTCATTTTCAGACTCACTGCCAACAGATCGTGGCCTCTTCTCTTTGACGATACAGTCTTCTGGATCCATGACTTCAGAATGTAGTGGTATCAATAACCCAACGACCTGTGAATGTAATAAAGGGCTCAGATCAGGAAGTAATTAATTTGAGTTTTAAGAAACAACAATGCACTACAAAGCAATTAGAAGAAATGTTTTCTAGAATGAACGCAAGTTGGTTCATGGCTGCTGGATGATGATGCTCACCAATGAAAATATAAAGAGCGAGTACAACCACCGACGTTTCAAATGAAACAGTGAAGTGCACCTTAAGCTGCTTAGCTGCTCAAGATAGCAGCAATGCTTTCTTATTCAAATTTAATCCACAAAACAAAGCCCTTCGCTTCGCATTGGCGCCAAAAAGTTGTTTTCGTTTCGTTCGAATCAACACATGGTCAACAGATGAGCATCTACCAATAACACTCTTCTGCTAGGATGAAAACAGTAACCTTGTCCAACAATTTCGTTTCTCTCATGACACTTGTGAGAAAAATAAAAACAATAGAAATTACAGCATTTCATTGCAGGTGCAAAAATACTAAAATTACATTATAACGTTTTTCGATGACAGATGATAAATATTTCGTTCCAATTGTTGTTGAATTTTTCATATGCAGTCTCCTAACCTAAGTTAAGCCGACGACCCGAAGTAGAGACCCTCCACGTATTTTAGCCTTGCAATCATCATATGTCGTTGAAATCTATAGTAAGTAGTTGATTGATTTTTCAATGAAGCTCTTGATATTTGGAAGCGGTTACTTGTCCTACCACCCGCATCCCGTTGAGTTCGACTTCTGCCTGTCCCGTCGCCTAGATACTGTTGTTTGTTAGGAGGTTAAAAATCATCCTATTTTACGATTGGTGGAATACATGTCAGTAGTGTGTTTTTTTGCTTCCCCTTTTTTTCTCATCGTGTCGTCTTGTTTCACCAATTTCCCTTATTTTAGTGGAATCACCTTACTGATGTCTAGATTTGATGTTGTTTCAGGTTTGCTTGGAAGGAGGAGTTGCCAGCCATTGAGGGATGGTGCTGCATCGTCTTCTGTGTTCGAGATTAAGTCAAGTGCGATTAAGTGTTCTGAGACAAACCCAGTACTCAACTTTGTCTGAAATGCAGAACGCTTACATTTGTCAATCTAATGGGGGTGAGAGGTTTACTTTCACATTCCACTATGTCAACGACAGTTTGGGTGTGGACAGAAAATTTAACTTGAATAGACAGTCTACGGAAGCCATTAGTACCTTTCTTGATAGAATTCAATGCAATGTTGCAAAAATTGTGAATGAAAAGCATGCCAAGAGGAGGAAGAAGGCCAAGAAGAAACAAGGGGAAGATTCTTCCGATGATAACACTTGCCCTGCTCCTCAAGTTACTGTGGAACTGCTCCGAAGTGGTAACCCAGTGCCAACCGATGAAACTTGTCAGTCAATTCTGGAGTGTAAGGATTTGGTTTTGCTTTCATTGAATGGTAAAAAATATAATGTTGTGGTGAACCCACCCTGGGTGGATGAAATCCAGCTTCCCAAAAGCATTCTCTCAAACTTTCCTGTGTACCCAAGCAAGTTTGTTGGCACTAATTTGGATCGAGGGGAAAGTGAATTTGTCTGGTTCAGGAAACTTCAGAATGAAGTTCAATGGCAGAAAGTTGGCTCTGGTTTTATTTACACACCATCCACAGAAGACATAAATTACCTACTAAAGGTTTGTGCAAACCTAAATAAGCTTAATTATTGTAGCAGTATGGAAAAAAAACTTGCCCTAACTGTATAAGTGACTGTAAATTTTAATCTTCTATTTCAGATCACATGCCAGCCCAAGAAAGACATGATTTCTGGTCCTGTTGTAGAATCCATATCAAAGTCTACAGTTGAAGCTGGGCCAGGAGAGTGTCCATTTGAACTCCGACATGCATTTACTAAAGAAAGAACCATGGGAAATTGGTATGAGCACACTGTATGGTTTTAACTGTTAATCTGTGCATGATAATTGTACCTTCTATGTAACAAGCCCTGTACATCTATTTTGCAGCTTCCGAGTTATGACCTACAATATACTAGCTGGCATGTATTCTGATACAGAGGCAGCTAAATCAGAGTTATTTGCCCACTGTCCTGCATATGCTTTGGATATAGATTATCGAAAGCAGTTATTTATGAAAGAAATTCTAGGTATAGTACATTAGTTTTTAATCTTGTTTCTTTTGCATATTCTTTATGTCAGTTTCTCTTCTTTCTTTGTACAGGATACAATGCGGACATAATCTGTCTTCAAGAAGTTGATGAACGTGTTTTTGAGAATGATCTGCAGCCTATTTTAGGATTAGAGGGCTACACTGGAGTTTTTCACAAAAAGGGGAGTGTCAGAGAAGGCTTGGCCTGTTTAGTCAACACCAAACGCTTTAGGTAGCTTAACCACTTATGACAAAATAGGGCACGTGCGTGGAGTGAATAAATGTTAAAATAATTACTATGAATTCTTTGGCTGTTTGTTTCCACAGGTTAGTTGAGTCACATTTGTCTCTTCTTAGTGCTGAGTTTAGTGATCGGCCTTGTTATCAAAAATTGTGGCAAGCAGTGAACCATAATGAAGCACTTCTGGAGCGTCTAAAGGACAGGGGTACATCCTCCCAGGTTGGTGGAATTGATGAGGATTTACCCAACAAACTGCCTGTATGTCTAAACTGCCTAAACTAGTTGTTTTATTTTAGGCTACAGTCTTACAATCTACAGAAAATTCTAAAAAATGGCTTGTTGTTGGAAATACTCATTTATATTTCCATCCTGATGCTGACCATGTCAGACTGCTGCAGGGTGGTCAAACAATATTGTTCATTGAAGATGTGGTCAACAAATTAAAAGAAGCTGTAAGCTATGACACATTTCTATGCTAATTGTTTTGATTTGATTCAATTGTGTTGTTTCTGTTTTTTGTTCTGTTTTAATTCAACATTTTGTGCTCAGAATCCAGATGCTGATGTATCTGTTATTCTCTGTGGGGACTTCAACAGTACTCCAGAATGTGGTGTCTTTCAGCTCATGACTACTGGATATGCCCCAGAAAACTTGGTGGACTGGAAAAGCAGTAAGTTCCATTTATTATGATTTAGTGGTGGTGCATTTATGCTCCACATTTCTGATTTTGACTTTCGTTCCAGATGAAGCTGAGCGTATTACTGGGCTTTCTCTATCACAGCCATTCAAACTGGACAGTGCTTGTGGAACTCCACAATTTACCAACTATACAGTTGGTTTTTCTGGGTGTCTGGACTATATTTTCTATCAAACTGATTCAATGCGAGTCAAAGAGGTAAGGAAAAATACTTCAGCCTTGAACCCTAATTTAATTTAGTTTTCTATTTTGCTTTGAGTACCCTTTATCCTCATTTTTCAGGTACTCCCTCTATACAGTGAAGAGGAACTCCAAAAATACACAGCACTGCCAAATATTGTGTTTCCATCTGATCATGTTGCTCTTGTATCTGAAATTGAGTGGTCTAAGTAAAACACCAGCTTTCATATTTTTCTTATGAAAGATGATAATGAGGTTCTGTTTTGCTTAAAGACATTATTCCCTCATTTGTTGTTTGAATAAAACTTGGCGTTTACAAAGGAAAGGTGCAGTTACACACATTTACACAGCGAACCCGCGACACCTGATGCAGAGACAGTGGCCCACCTGCTCCGTGCCGGTGTGTCGCCGGACAGGTCGGTGGCTTTAGGTGCACATCAAGACGGACGGCCGCTAAAAAAAAACTTCGCGGTTGAACTACGGTTTGACAGGTCTTAACGAAATAGGTCCTCCTCCACCTTAAACCTGGGCTGTACTTCCCTCCTAGAATGAAAAATCTATCGTTCGTTTATCGTGCGGATAATCTAGTGCGACGGGCCAATAAGGCGTCTCTTGTCTCTAGCCCTACGAATAGACCATATGTTGAACGAATGACAACATGAGTAGGTGACAACAAGAGTGCTTATCCTGAAATCTTACATAAATGAGCTAATATGGAAGATTCTGCTGGTGATAACATTGGTCGTCAGGTACGTAAGGGTGCTTATAGATAGTTGTCAAACAAGTAGAAGCCATCTGTCAAGGTTTGGTCAGTTGTCCACCGGGTATAACCTAAACTACTATCATATCATAATGGTTGTACTTTTTTGTGTTTTAGATAGAAGAACAAGAGGTACTGAAATCTATTTATGGAGAGGAATGGAAACAAGAAGTGGCAGGAGGTAGTATCTCACTCTCGGAAGGATCTTTAGGTTTGGAATTATTCATCACATTAACAGATGCATATCCTGGTGAAGGCCCTCCACTTTTCCAAATTTTGGCTCCCTGTCTGACACGAGATGAAATGATACAAATTACAAATTTTCTTCAAGATATTTATTTGTAAGAATTTTTTGTATCTCTGGAGTTTAAATGAGATGTTAACTCAAAGTATTAACATTATCACTTAATTTTACAGAGATAACTTAGGAGAAACTGTTATTTACCAATGGATAGAGAAAGCTCGTGAATGGCTTCAGAATACCGCTGCTCTGAGGGAGTGCGCCGCTGGAACTTCTTCAGAAGAAGCTGTCATGGACAGTGATAGTCCTGAGTATCTGGATGATGCCGATGGTTGGAATGATAAATACACAAATTCAGAGAAGAAGATTCCTGTCAATGTCCCCAGTGGACCAGAAATTATCCATGGCGATCCTATCAGTTTCAAGAAAAGTACATTTCAGGGTCATGTAGCATGTATTACCTCAACTGATCAAGTCAAGTAAGTCTCCCAGCTTTTTATATTTCCTCTCATTTCTCCTACCTTCTTCAACATAATTTTTTCATGTGTGTTCTAGGATTGTTCTATCTACTTTGATGGAAAACAAAAAAATTGCCAATGCTACTCACAATATGTATGCATATCGAATATTTAGGGAAGATACAAAATCTTTCAGTCAAGACTGTGATGATGATGGAGAAACTCAAGCAGGTAGCAGGCTGTTACACTTACTGCAGGTAAATATTTTAGTACAGAAGCTTTCTTGAAAGTTAGCAGACACTGGAACTGAAAGTGTGTTCTTTCCTGTTGCAGATAATGGACGCCCGCAATATTTTAGTCGTGATCAGTCGGTGGTATGGAGGAGTGCATCTTGGGCCAGATCGTTTTCGTTTGATTAATAATGCAGCCAGACAAGTTATTGAGAAAGCGGGTCTCCTTCCCAGTCAAGACAAGAAACATTAAAGCAGATATGCCATGTAATAACATTTGTTAATTTTATGAAGTATTCAAGACTGTCTTTTTCTCTTTAAAAGATTTTATATCCCCATGTTTTGTAATATAAAAGAGAACAATACCATCAGCTTATCTCTGACACTTCCTCTCTCCCTCCCTCTGTAGTCCAATCGCACCTCCTGTTGGTATCTTGCCTTCCACTCGTCTGTGGATTAAAGCTAAAACTACGTACAGTACGTGGTTCGAGGATTAGAAAAGCCCGCGCGTGGCTCAGCGTTGCCCGGTATTCCCAGGGTATTCCCCTCGTAAACCTCATTTGTTGTGGAAGTCGTTCTGCCAACAGGCTGAACTAAAACGATGATTCATCGTCGTTTCAGCCCATAATTTGTGTTGCCTTTGCTTCTCTCAGAATATTTGCTCTCTGTTTTATTTAACTATAATGTGACGAGAGTGAAACAACCCGTATAGCAGGTAGTTATCCTGTAGGTAGCGGACGCAACAAGGTTGGCTAAGCTGATTGGCTTTAGGTACCCCTCTCTCCCCTTCTCGTCAGCCTATTTTAGTCCTCTACCTGTTGGGTGCACGGCTCCGAGTCTAGTTTCGCGTTTTTTCTTGTGACCGTCTTCGCTAACGCTGGAATTTTTGACAATCTTGCTGTCATTTTCGCAGTCCTGGTATTAAACATCTAATTGGTGGGAAAACAAATCGGAGGGTCCAGAAAAAAAAAACGAAAGGTATGTGCGTTGTACTTTTTATCGATTCACCCAAGAAGAAAACAGATCTCGGTCGGTTCGGCCACTATTCTGCCCCAATGAAGGAAAAAAACTGTTCTGAAATAAGCTTAATTATGTGTATGCCTCTATTTTGAAGCACAAGGGCAGTAATCTTGAAACGAAGATCCATCTTTTTTGGATAGTGTAGTGTTGGGAACTCAAGCATCTAACATCATATTGCCTTTTGTTTCAAATTTTCTGATCCAGATTTGAAATGTACTGGACTTCCGACGACTACAGTGAGGAATCCACTGATGTAGAGGCATGGATTGATGATGAGTTCGAATATGATGGGGGTTCAATACACTACACCAATGGAGACAATGACATCAGAACCTTCTTGGATAAATCGGACAGTGAATATGTACAGGTTTCTCGATGTTAGTCATTCTTAATTTAATCTTATGCGTTTGTGTGTTAATGAAAGCTTCAGATCAAAGTTTTGATGATGTTTTTTTGTTGCAGTGTTTCTTAAGACTGGTTCCACCAAGAAATTTTCTGTATCACTTAAACATATTGAAAAGGTCTGCAATCAGGAATTGCTTGAGAAATTTGAAAGGAAAAAGCTCGAATACAAACAAAAATATGGCCATTTCAGAATTGTTAAAGTTTTTCACGGTTCTAAAAGCATTAACATACCATCCATACTAAAGAATAATCTTCAGGTTCAGCGCCATGGTCAGAACAGAGGTATGTTTCATGCATTTGTAAACAATTTCTGAAAAATGTTAGAAACTAATTTGGTTATAAAAACTTTAGTTGCATAATTGGTTTTTCTTTTTCAATTTTAGGCCACCGATTTGGAGCTGGTGTTTCATTTTCAGCTTTTGCAAATTATGCCAGTCATTATTGTGATTCACATTATAGCAAATCAGATTCATATGATCAAATGCTTCTATGTTATGTGATTATTTCTAACATAACAGAAGTGCCTGAGCTGAAGAGAAAAGGTCAGGTTTTAAAGAAACCCCCATTCATTGAGGGCAAGCAGTCCTTGAGATATGATACAACAGCAAAGAATAAACATTCCATGGATGTCATTGTGAAATTTGAAGATCATACCTTCTACCCAGCATATGTTATACACTTTGTGAAGTCTTTGAAGTCAAATCTCCTACCATCTGATGACAAGAGTGTACCAAGGTCTCAAGAGAGTATTGCACCTAAGATGGTTCCCAAACCTACTCTTTATGTGCCTCCAAATCACCAGGAGAGCATTGTGCGTAAGCAGGCTACTATATCCACACCAAATGTGGTCCCAAGACATCAAGAAAGTGTTGTACCTAAACAGATTTCTAAACCCACACCTCCTGTGGTTCCATCAAGACAAAAAATTGTTGCACCTACACCAGTATTTAAACCTGTGAACCCAAGACGTCAAGAAAATGTTGTACCTAAACAGATTCCTAAACCCACAACTTATATGGTTCCATCAAGACAAGAAATTGTTGCACCTATATCATTTAAACCTGTGAACCCAAGACGTCAAGAAAATGTTGTACCGGGACATATTTTCAGACCCACATCTCGTGTGGTTCCAAGACCTAATCTGTTCAACCAGGAAGAGAGGACTATTCAGTGGCTGATGCAGTCACCCTCTTTAGTCACTCCAGTTGTTGCACCCCCTGAAACCCAGACAAAGCAATCTGGATTCGCACATTCAGTTCTCTCATTCTTCCGAAAACTTTGCTGCTGTGGCTGATGAAATGAAACTTGATGGTCAGCGTTTATTTGATACTGGTCTTTTACCAATTTATGTCTTATCTTATCTTATCATCACTGTACTGTATCACTTACTTAATTTTACTGCTTGACTTGATTTTTATACTATAATCGTGATTGTTTTTGGCAAGTTCAGTACTATTGTTAAATAACTATCTTCAGTCAATAAAATAAATAACTGGGAATGGATGTTATTTTATTTACAATGCTTACCAATGTACAACTTCTACTTGTTAAAACTCATATGATAAATAATTTACAATGGCTTATCCTGAGATTTCTTTCGCTCTTTTCAGCAAATGGGCTTTGGCATTCCCTGCTTGTAATTACAAAAAGTTGAGATTTTCTCAAGTCCTGCTTGAGAATGTGAAGGACTAGACTCAATGAAAAAGTAATGAACTACATACCTCTTTGAGGTTGAATGAGGAAAGTGTGAAGCTTTGAAAGAGTAATTATATCTGCATGATTTTTACATTCTGTCCTCTCACCATCGTATTTCTTTAAACTCTAACTTAAGTAAACTATAGTCTATCAGCGAAACGGTCTCGGTCTTGACTGTATGGCGTACGAAATCTTCCTTCCGACCTTAAAGTAAATCAGTAAATGATGAATTTAGGCAAACAATTCAATACAAGACATTTTACCACAGATAACAAAACTTACTTGATGGTGCTTAAAATACGGTCTGCTTCCCTCCAGCCAGTCTCTATGGCTCCGTGAACAGTTGAATAGTAGTGGTCATGCGTGGCTTCCCCAGCGAACATGACGGCCTGCAGAAGAAGTTTGCCCTCATGAGTCCCTTGGATGCTAACGGGTGCTTCGTGAAGTTAGTAGCGGCACACTGCCCCTCAGCCTTACCGGCGTGCCCTGCCTGTCCAGGATGGGCTCGGCGAGGTGGGCCGCCCAGGCGCCCGCGCGGTCCGAGTCCAGGGAGCGGTAGCTGTACGAGCCCTTGAAGTGGGGGTTGCTCCACCACTTGGAGCGCGTGAAGCCGATGGGCAGCGGGATGCTGTAGTTGTGGCCGAGGAACATCTCGAGCCAGTGCTTGCAGCCCATCATGATCTGGTAGTCCGAGTAGCGCTCCATGACGCGGGCGGGCTCCCCGACGATCCAGTCCATGAGCACCACGTTGGGCTTGTGCTGGTCGATGTAGAAGCCGGACAGGCCCTGCACCCAATGGCCGTGCACGCCGTACTGGGGGTACTTGCGCTTGAACTGCTCCAGGTCGTCCTCCGTCACCAGCACGCTGTACCCACTGAGCGCGCTCGGCCACCACGGCTCCGAGAAGTACAGAAACAGCTTGTTGACCTGGCCGAAGCCCAAGTTCTGCAACACCAGACCCGCGCGCTCAAGTTGATGACGCATTTCGATAGAACGGAGTCGGCCGTGGCCGATCCCCAGGGCAGCGCGCCTGCGAAGGTGGGGGTAGGCAAGCCCGCCGCGCTCCTCTGTGTAACGGGACTGCCCACCCGCTCCTTCGCAGGCGCGCTGGGGATGGAGAGAAAGCTTCGTCCTTCCTGCCGGACTACTTGCCGTCAGATAGACAGAGAGAGAAAGAGCGCACTCACCCGGACGGCGTTCATCTTGCGCTGGGGCAGCGGCGGGTCGAACAGGGCGTCGGCCGAGTGTTTGAGGACGCCGAGGGACACGGTGACGATCACCATGTCGGCGGTGTAGCGCGCCCCGTTGGACAGCTCCACGACGATCGGGGGCCTGGGGTCGGCGGCGGGGGCCTCGTCGAGGTAGCCCGCCATCGGGTCGTCCGCCATGTGGTTCGCCATGGGGTCGTCGGCTTGCGGCGCGTCCGTCCCCGTCGGCGGCGTGGTGGCGTCCACGTCCGAGGCCTCGGTCACCTCGTTGTGCTGCTGCGGGGTGGGCTGCGCCTCCGTCTGCGTCTCCGTCTGAGTCTCGGTCTGAGCCTCGGTTTGGGCTTCGGTTTGGGCCTCGGTTTGAGCGTCGGTTTGAGCATCGGGCTGGGCTTCAGTTTGAACCTCTGCTTGGGGTTGGGGTTCGGGCTGGGACTCGGGCTGCGGCTCGGGTTGGGGTTCCGGTCGGGGTTCAGGCTGAGACTCCGGTCGGGGTTCTGGCTGAGGTTCGAGACGTCGCATGTCCCTGTAAGGGTCCCGGTAGGGCTCCTGGTAGGGCTCCTGGTAGGGCTCTTGGTAGGGCTCCTGGTAGGGCTCCTGGTAGGGCTGGGAGCCGTAAGGGTTCGGGCCGTACACTCGCTCGGCCCAGCGGATGGTGGCCACCTCGCTGCCGAGGTGAACCCGCTGGCGAACCGGCAGTTCCTGCGCCGGATTGGGGTACCGTTTCTGTCGACCAAAGCAGAGCAGTGGCTTCAGCGTTTGGAAAAAAAATGAAAATGCGCGCCCTGGCCGGTGCTCGAACCCGCAGCAAACTCACGGTGAGCAGGTCGAACACGGTGCGGTAGCCGTTCCGCTTCCAGGTGAGCTGGAGGTCGCCGTCGCACTCCTTGTAGTGCACCAGGCCCTGGGCCGAGGTGTTGAACCACGTGTCGGAGCCGTCGTAGAAACCGATGGCCTTCTCGAACCAGCCCAGGAAGCGGTCCACCAGGTCGGCCGGCGGGTGGCGCTCCATGGTCATGAGGCGTTGCTGGAACCTGAACGAAAGTCTCAGTGTCACCACGGGGAAAGGGATAGCAGGCCTGCAGGCCGCAACTCTCTCGCACCCCATGGGGTTGCAACGAGTGCCCCATGAGAACGACAGAGGCAGAGCGACTGCTCGGACTCGGGCTGAGGGGGTGGCTATTTCTACCTTGAGCTCCGCGGCGACGCGTGCTTGCTCTTGGTGGGCGTTGGCGACGGCCCGAGTGACATCTGGACGGCCGGCTCGTCTCGTGATAAGCGAGGGCCATGTGCGAACCACGTGAAAGCGGCAAGCAGCGGCAAGCAGCGCGGAACGGCGGGGCACAGAGCGCAGCCATGGCGCAGCCGCCAAATACCAATATCGCCGACCGGTACAGTCAGCCTAATAACGAGAGGGCCGCTTAAGGCGGCAGATGGGCGGCCTGGCGATAGGGGTTACGTAACGCACACACTCGCTCTCTCTCACACACACTCACAGGTCCAGGAACCAATCGCCGTAGGAGCCGGTGTAGTTGACGAGCTGGTCCAGCGTGTCGCGCCGGGAGCCAATGGAGTTGCTGGCGTTGAGCAGCAGCTCGATCTCGGTGGGGTCCGCCACGGCGCCGCCGCTCCACACGAACGCCATGTTGGAGCTGAGGCCCTTGTTCTGGTGACTCAGCAGCTCGAGCGGCTCGGCCATCTCGTAGACCACGTTGCCCACCTCGCCGTGCACCCACTCGGCGCCCAGGTCCACGATGTTCTCGGCTGTCGACACGAGACGGGGGTTAGCACGGTGCCGGCGAGAAGGCCAAGCAAGGTGCGGGCGAGGCAGCGTACCGCGCACCGCGCGCGGAGCACGTAAACAGTATCAGGCACCTCAAAATAGAAGACGACGGCGAGGTCCAACGGGGTCGCGAACCTTTGGACCTCACCGCCACGGCAACGAAGCCACGCTACCGACTCACCGAAGCGCACGGTGTGGATGCGGCCGCCGATCCGCCTCTCCGCCTCGAGGATGGTCAGGTCGTAGAAGTTGTTCTCCATGAGGCGAGAGGCGGCGGCGTACCCGGCCGCCCCCGCGCCGATGATGAGCACCTTGGAGTGGTTGGAGGAGGCCGCCCTGCCGCCCTGGCCGGACAGGGGCAGCGCCGTGCACGCGGACCAGAGCGCCAGCGCGCACAGGGGCAGCTGGAACGGAAGGGGTGGCCGTCAAGGGGTGGCCGTCGTGGGGCCGTCAAAGGATGGCCGCGAACCACCTGCACCGCCATATCGCTCCGCGCGCTACTGCTTTGCTTCAATTTGTTTGGAAACCGATCGGCCGTGATAGGGACGGTCCCCTTCTCCCACGGGCCCGGGCCGCGGGGCGTGCCACAGAAAAACAAACGAGGAAAAAAAGTCTGCGACGGTCTGACGTTTGTCCTGGCGCGTCGTCGAGCTGACAAGACGGTACTCTATCGCTGCCGTGCAGCCAAGCAGCGCACATCTCGAATTTTCGTCGCAGACGTAGGTCTTAACTATTCTTAGCGCAAAACAAAAATTCTCGTGGGCATTGATGACACACTATCCTGGTGTTTCGATCAAGAGCGCTCATCGACGAACGCGTTGCTTTCTTTTATAACCAACGGTAGCTCAAAAATAGTGTTGTTGATTTTTTTTTCATACAGGAATTTGAACCGCCAAAAACCGCAACGAAGCCTGACGAACTCACCAGAAGACGGCGTGCTGCAGGCATGGTGCTGGGCGTGGTCAAGCGCGCTGCCCTTGTTGTCCTGCTGCTTGTCTCACACGCACACAGACGCGTTCACTGAGGCTGCTCGGTTGCGAAGTGTGTAGGTGGGGGTGCGTTGGCACCGCTGGCACATGGGGCGCGCGTCGTCGCGCAGTCTCGTCGCGTCCCGCCACTGCGCGGTGCTTCGCGGTGCTTCGCGGTCGGTGCACGCCACGGCACTGGGCTGGCCGACGGCAACCTTGGCCTGCCCCTGCCCGTGGGGCCGTGAGGCTGGGGTGGGACGGGACCGCCGACGGGACGCGTCGCCCTGCCGCCGCGCCCTGCCTCGGCCTGCCTGCCTGGGACCCACACAAGATAACACATCACGTTCCCTGAATGGCCATCGCGATGGCGGTACGGAATGGGGAGGGAACCGCAGCCGGTAGCCCGAGACGCCCGTCAAGCACGCCGTCAAGCACGCCGTCAAGCCCGGCGCGCACGAGGAGCTACTGTAGTTTGACAGATGGGGCGCGCAAAAGAAGCCGGCCGGCGGGTAGTTTATTGATACCTTCCCCCGCTCCGGCCTGTCTGCCTGTCTGTCAGTCTGCCTGTCTGTCTGTCTGTCTGTCTGTCTGTCTGTCTGTCTGCGGCTCGGCGACTCGAACTTGGATATGCCGCCACGCCGACCCAGGCCCCGCCGCCACGATAGTAAGTTCCCTTTCCTGTTTCCCCTCCGTTGGTCCAGTTTTCTGTTTCTGCCTTGCTGCCTGACCTTGCCCCATTCCTCATTCTTCCCACACGCACCAAGAGCCCTATCGGCCCCGGCCCCGCCCCTCCCCTCCCCTCCCCCTCCCCCCCTCCCTCGCGCCGCCAGACAGACTAGAGACGCGCGCCCAGCCAGGCAGCAAGGACCGGCCCGGCCGGCCGCCCGGCACGCAGGCAGCGCGGGCACACCTGTGCGCTCGCTGCAGCGATGTTGCCTACCAGGCGCTCCCCTGCCTGCGGACTGAGCAGTGCTTTTGTCGCTGTCTCTCTCGCACGCTTGCGCATGCGCCACGAGTGCGAGAGAGACAGAGCGACGAGAGCAGCGCCCAGAATCATCCCGCTCCGCTGGGGGCTGCAGCCTCATTATTTTGACGTACCGCGACCAAAACAAACTACTCCGCGACCACTCGCAAACGCCTTGACGGGCCGCACTGTGGAGACTGCGCCACTCCCGCGCCGCGTGGCCTTGACACTGGCCGAGGGGAAGAGGCTGCCCGTTACCTCATGAAGTAAACAACAAGAAAGTTGGCGCGCGAAAAAACTAAAACAAGGCGATGGCGGATAAAGCGCGCCGGCGAGTGTGGCAGTGTGACACTGTGACCCGGGTCGCGTTCGCCGGCGTGCTTTCGACATGCCACGAGCCCGCCCCACCCCACCCCACCCCGGTGTTGCCCCGTCACCACGAGCCTGATGAATGAGGAAACTCGGTGCCCTAGCCCACTCTTCCAAGAACATGTCCGTCAGATACGACACCGCCTTTGAACGTTCTGCGAAGCCTCCCTCCTGGGTGGGACTCTCTTTTCCTCGATTGTGCAAGCCATCGTAGGCAGGTTGGACCAATCGCGACGATGTCGTGACGTAAGCCTCTGCGGCTTGCAGTGCTTGCAGTGTGCACCCCAAAGTGCGCTACTCACTGGCGGCAGCGGACTTCGCCAAGGGCAAAGTCTGCTAGCTGCGGCACTCGCGTTCGGGTCGGTTCACTCGCGACGCGCCGGCCTGGAGGTCGCGACGGCGGTGTCGACGACGGCCTGCTTCTCGCGCGGGGGTGCGGCGCAGTGCGACAGCGTGGGCGACGGCGTGGCTCCGCGTCTGGGCCCGAGAACACTGAGACTGGACCCCGGCCGGGGCGTTCCCAAGGCCCCAGAGGCGGGGCGGGGCGGGGCGGGGCAGCCTGAAGGGAAGTCGCGGCGGGCCTGGCGGCTGGGCAGGGCTGCTGCTGCTGCCGTGCCGGCGAAGGCCGCGGGTCGTGTCCTGTCGACGCGACGGCGGCCGCCGCGTCCTTCGCCGCCGAACGCTTCCGCTGTTGGTGGCGAAAAGGGCGCTGCGTGCCGGCTGTTGCGTCGCGGTCCAAATTCGGCGGCTTCGGCCCGACCGCCGCCAGTGCCGCCGCGCCCCGCCCCGCCCAGGGGCTTATCGCCAGCCCGCCCGCTTCACAGGGTATACAGATTTGACGTCTCGCCTTCGTTTGGCCTTCGCTGCTCTTCGCTGGAGGGATCGGCATCTCCTCGCTGTTTGCCTCACGCTGCTCGCCATCTCGCCGTTGGAAGCTCCGCCGCGGCGTGGCTGTGGTGCGGCATGGCTGCACCGGGGGAATGACCGCCACCGCCTCTGCCGGGTGGTTGGCGAGGCGAGGCAGCCGGAGCGCCGCGTCCCAGTGTCTATCCCTGGAGCCGCGCGAGGTAAAGGCTCCGAATCTAGAATCTTCCCGAATGTGGTCCCGATGCGGCGCTCCCACGTGTAGCGTGTGCTTTGGTGCCCCCTCCACTCCCCTGGACCCGAATTATTATCACGACGGGCGCTCTGCCCGGCACGCTGGGCGGTTCGGTCCGGACCGATTTGCCAGCAGCCAATGGGAGCCGGGCGCTGCGTTCAGTGCAGCCGCTGCAATGGCGTAGAGTCCAACAGAAGGACCCCACGAACCGGATCAAACCGAGTACAGGATGACGTCATTCCTGTCGATAACCCCGACCCCGCCCTGCCTCGCCCCCCACCAACGGTATCCGGCCTCTATCCGGTCCACATTCGGTTCGCCGCCCGAACGGCTGCCTCCGAAATCCGAGAGGCGTTTTTGTCGAAACCGAACCCCGAAATCAGTCTGCAGGGGCTCGGGCGGGGGAAGTGTCCGGGGTGACTTCCTGATATGGGGCCAACTGAATTTACCTTCTCCTTGTGAGCAAGGCTTTCATTCGACTATTGGGCAAGGTGTATGAGTAAATTAATCGCAATTTAATCACAAATGCTTACAAGTTTATTCATTCCGACTTGAATTCACATAATATTTTTGAGTGTCCCCTAGCGCACTCATAGTAAAACATGATAAAAATTAATTAATTAGCAAATAACATTAAAACAAAATATTCATTACAACAATAGCGCTTTGAAGTTGATCGAGAAGATCAAAAATAGATCAAAGATTTCATGAAACAGAAGGCAAATGCCATGGCCTATAATACTTTTTATCGGAACTGCAAAGTTGAAATGCGAAGTCCTAGACAGTCTTTGCCAACTTCAGCTACTGTACAAACTGTGCAAACGGTTCCCTTGTACTGAGGCAAGTAACTAGTGCCACAGAGGGGACATTTTTCTTCAGCTTTTCCACGGTAGATGGGCTTATAGGTAACACCACACAGTGAGAATGGATTGTGTTCATCATAAGCGAGCTTGTGTTCATCTACAGGATTCATATCACAGGCCTGAAACAAACAAAAAAAGTTAGGTAAATGGGAGGGGGGCTAAATAATAGTTAAGAGAAGCGCTGAGAGTAAAGGTGGCTTACCTGCAAGAATTTCTTAGCCTGTTGGGAGAGGTCTGGACTTGGCCCTAATTCTAACAATCTCCTTGCAAAGGATCCAGCAGTTTTGAAATTCTTCAGTTTGAAGAATAATTTCAAAGATGTGCGGAGAGTGAGAATTTGATGCACAGGCTGAAGATTACAGTGAGTGAAGTATGCTGCCATCTCACAATTTCTCTTCTGCTCTTCTAATGAGTTTTTAGGAAGATCTTTACGTAGAAGCTCCATCATTAAACCTAAAAAAATAATTTAAACATATTATTAAAGCTCCTTCAATTTCAACTGGATTTTGAAAAGAGTACAGAGTGAATGATTATTTGTACCTAAGATATACTCTCTGCATATTTGCAGTAGCTGTTGGGCTTGTACAATGTCTGGCTTGGTATCAACAACTAGAAGGGGAATGCTCAGAAGTAAAGCTCTGAATTTCTCAACAGCTTCAATGAATTTTCCTCCTGTGGTAAGTTGATAGCAGACCTGCAACAGAGAAACAAGTTTTAAAATTGACACAATTCTTCAGGTCTGTTAACATAATCTTGTGGTTAATTTTGTACCTGAAGCCTCTGGACAAGGTCATTCAGCTTCAAACCAATGGCTGGAAGACCTCCTTTGGGGCCCGAATCACCCCAACTACGTTGCAGATGCCTATAGATAGAGCCTCGCTGCGGGAATGCTGGGAATGACGCGCGAGCACGACTGAATGTGCTCATAAAGACGCTCTCATATGCATCGAAGTTCACAACTCCCACCTGATACACAAAATACATTGATGAGAGTTTAACCACTGCACAACAATAGGGCAAGCAGTAGAAAATTTGAAAATTGCTAATTGGTTACCTGGTCGTGGAGTAATCTAAACGCTGATTCAAAGGAACCAGCAAGGATATGATCAACAGCCAACTGTGAATTGTTGACCCAGAGCTGTGACTGAGATGTTCCTTTGGTTGGTGCCACAAAGTAGCCCTCTTCTGCAGCAGCTGGCAAGGTTTCCTCCAATTCAGGTGGAAGTTCCAAATCATCATCACCTTCATCCCAACCCGTTCCACCTAAAATAAAAAGACCAACAACAATAGTAAACAGAATGAAAATTGCAGGTTTATCATGCATTTTTTGGTATGAATAATTTACCTCCAGCCCCAGCATCACCGGCACCTTCTTCCCCTTCACCATCATCAACTTCTGGGTCTGTGTCCCAGCCTTCCGGTTCCACTTCATCACCAATAGGAGCAGCGGCAAGGGCAGCATTCGCTGCTGCAGTGCTGCGGTTGGTCATGGCTCCCTCAAAGAAGCCCTAAAACAAAAAAGCAGTTGTAACACAGGAGAGACAAAATTTCACCAATGAGAAGAAAAACATGCTACTGCAGTATTACCTTAGTGACAGTAAGCAATGGCCAGTTAGATTCAGCTTGTAGAATAGGTACAGGAGGACGAATGAAAGTGGCATCCGAGTCAAAGTCTGGAAGTTTCTTTTCAGCTGTCAGTAACTGTTCTTGCAGCTGCTCAGCATCCTCTCTCAGACCATGGGTTGCAGCAGTCAAGTACGCCAAGGAGGGCTGGGTTGGCTAAAGATCAAAGAATGGCGTTAGCTAACTCATCGAAATAAAAAAATGAACCAAAAAGATAATAACATTCCTTACCTTCAAAACCTTGACACGCTCAGCAATGTCACCAAGGTAAAGGGCCCCCTGGTACTGACCCATGCAGTCCTTGCGAATTTCTGCAATCTTTGTCATCTTTCGCAGTTTTTCCAAATTTCCAGTGATGAGATACAAAAATGCAAGTTTATCAAAGTTCTTAGTTCTTTGGTAGCACATCTCAACAACCTATTTTTGAAAAAGAAAAAGGTGAAATTAAGATTAAATTTAAATGACAACTTTTAGAAAAAAAGTTGAGTAAGCCAATGCCTTACTTGATGATTTCCTTGAAGTAAAGCAGCCTCGCCTAAACATTCCCAGCAATGCTTGTCATCGAGGGCACGAGCAGACTCAACGGCAACTTCAATATTGCCACATTCCAGGGCCAAGCCAAATCGAGTCATTTCATCCTTGACGAAGTGCAGAGCCACTTCAGGATAGCCCTTCTGCTGTAGGTATGCAATGATGGACTGACCAAGCAGCCTTGCATTACGAACCATGTGCAAGACCTACAAAACAAAAAACAAAATTTTCATGTCTGTAATTTTTTGCTGTCAGAAGAAGAGAAAAATTGGTAAAAACAAGAACATTACCTCATCGTAGTTGCGATTAATAAGAGCCAATTTGAATTTGTACTCAGTGGGATCTATTTTCATAACTCTAGGTCTACACTCACGGTCAAGATTAAACACTTGATTTCCTTTCACTTGAGTAATGTAGATAGGCATATCCAAAGTACGAATGATACCATGGTCACTAAAATTTAAGAACAAATATTAAGGTACTACTTGCATTTCTGAAGAGTTAATGGTATAGGAGAGAAACACTTACCCATTGGAAATTGCATATTTGATGTGGTTGCTTGTAGTGTAAATGAAAATACCATCATCTGTCCAAGCTCCAGACTTCACTCTTGTGTTTTCATGAATGGAGCACTTGGTCTCAAGTCGGCGGGAGCAGATGAGAACAGTGTGCTTGGCCAACAGTGCCACCAGAGACATGTCGGCAGACCACACAACATACCTGCATTTGCTGATTTTCACTTGAGACAGAGTCCTGAAATTACAAGAAAACAGGTTGTGTTGGTCATAAAATTGTACAACTAGAAACAAATTAGCAAGAATATTAAATAAATCCCTTGTTACCTCTTTTGCTGAACATCGAAAAGAGTAATAGAGTCTGGATCTCTGAGAAGTAGCATCCCTGTTCCTGCATAAAAGATTTCATCGCATGCTGGGGTTTGCACCTTCTTGGTAACTTCATTCTTCAAATTCTTGATAACCAGCTGAAGGGGAATTGACAGAAACTTTAATAAAATTCTTTTCCAGTTTAACTTAATTATTTGTTTTGCTAAAAATTACATACCGAGTGTGTTCGGTCAAGAACAGCAAAGCGATTGCGCGCTACCCAGATAGCAGTAATGCCAGAGGCTCTCTTACTGTCAGGATTATCAGGGTTCTGACTGTCACCTTCTTTGGGAATTGTGTACAAGTCATAAGTAGAGGTTTCGACATTGCCCGTGCGAGTGCACAGCAACACCGCATTTTCAGCAGGATTGTAGGACATGCTGTACACTGGAGTGCGTCCTCCCCCTCGAAGTTGTATCAGAACGATGTCCTTTGTGGCTGTGAGGTCCAGGCGATGCAAGTAACGTTCCTTGACGTAATACAGGAAGTTGCCATGGACTGCATAGGCAGGACGTTCACGCTCCAGCTATGAAAGGATAAGATAATTAGTATTATTGAGAGACAAAAAAAAACAATAAAAAAAATAAAGCTGTTTGAAATAAAGATGAGCTTCACCTTGAAGATGATCATTCCTGAATCATGACCAGCAGCAAAGAGGTTGAGAGTCGGATGAGCAGCCAGCACCCAGAAACGCTCATGCTCCCTTCGGAATGTGTGCAGGCATGATCTCTTGGTCCCATCCCACACTCTGATGCTCTTGTCTTCAGAATTGGAAATGATCAGTTCTTGCCGAGGATGGAACAGTACACAGGACACATTGTTGTAGTGGCCTCTGCATGTGTCCACTTGCCAAGCCTGCAACCATTTATCAGCAAATTAAAACCCTCCATTACATTCTATAGGATCAAAACTAGTTTAATAATAACATTTTTTTTTTTTACCTTGGCTTCATTCATTCTCCACATTTTGATAAGTCTGTCGTCAGCTCCAGAGACAATCAGAGGGAGGGTAGGGTGGAAGGCAACCCAGTTGACTCCACGGTCGTGCCCCTCGAGCACATGCTTGACAACAGCATCAGCTTGGCCAAACAAATCAGTAGCATTTGGGTTCCTCAAATGCTCTTCAAGACCACCGGGCCCAGGGGCAACATTCTTCTTGCGTAATCCTACAAACAGTTAAATAAAAAAGGTTTAGAATTTGCACTGTAAGAAATTTGTAATTTGAGTTCATTTACAGCACATACACAGGATGAAAGAGCATTAAGAAACCATGCTGTTATGTACAATTTGACCTCTTCCCATGGATGTTGATGTCCATAATGTCATCCATACATGCATAATGTTCAGAGACCAAAAAGTCACACACTTTCTCAAAGCAAAGTTCACCAGCTCATAAGACTTCATCGAAGAGAATTTTGGAAACATACCGACATGCCAGCAGCTTGAGGAGACACTCTTTTTACAAGATGTAAGTTTTAGCACACCCCACACAACCATGTTCAAAAGGTTAATTATATCTTTAGATAATATTTGAAGGAGCATTTGATACACAATGTTCACATTGAACTGAAGTTACAAATCAGGGTACAATGTTGCTCTCAATTCTCAACACATCTGTTTGGTAAACTTAATGGATGAAGAAAAAAAAAAAACCTCATGTGACATGAATTTTGCATCAACATATGGTGAAATTGACTCAAGGACTGAAGTAGGGGGTACATTTATTTACACACGAAATGGAGGGAGACATTAGTATAAAGCAGAATCGAAATTTTGAGACAAGTAGACAGGAGATAGTGAACAAAAAACCACAAAGCCACCCACAATGGATCATGTCCACATCCCATCTTTCACCCTGGCCACTGGCATGTTGATATATTTACCTTGGCTGTTGCACTGGCTGGCAATACCTGAAATATCCCAAACACGGACGGTCTGGTCCAGAGATGCTGATACAACAAGGTCTTCCGATGGGTGGAACTGAGCGCACATCACATAGTGAGCGTGACCAGTGAGCACACAAATGCAAGTACGGCTCTGCCAGTTCCAAATCCTGATGGTTTGGTCATCTGAAGCACTGAGGATCCAGGGGTATTCATGATGGAACACTGTTGAGCGGATGTAGTCCAAGTGACCAAGCAGCGTGAAAATACAACGCTTCTGTTTGTAGTTCCAAACCTGCAGTATGAAAACTAAGATTAGTCAGGTTCCAAAATAAAATTGATTTTTAAAAAGTCCGAGTTTGAAAAAAAAAAAAAAAACTTGCCTTGATTTTGTAATCATCTCCACCAGAGACAAATAGGGGCTGCTGCGAGTGGAAGCAGATGCCTCGCACTGGGCCATCATGTTCGTCGAACTTCTCCAGCAGAGTGCACATGCGGTAGTCCCACAGCTGGATGATGCCATTGTGTAAACTGGAACACAGACAATCAGTCGTCGTCAGTCAAATCGTCAAACCCGCCGACAAAAGGCACTCCTTGTCTTCGTATCTCTCTCTCTCTGTCGAGGCGCGTCAAACACCCGAGCGACAAGGACGGTAAGTCGGGCAGGTGCTGTTTGCCCCCCCCCCCCCCCCCCCCGCACGATCCAGCGAATGGTCCGGTAAAACGAGCGGCACGGCATTAAAGTGCCAAAACGGGGCCGGAATGCCCTCAAAGCCTCCAGGCTTTACACCAAAATTGCGAAAGACGTCGAGGGAGTAAAGAGAGACATTACTAAAAGCGCCCCACCCCCCAAAAAAAAAAAAGGTGAATTGCCTCTCAGTAGTATTCCGACCTAATCTAAAACTTAAAAAAAATTCAAAGCGTTGTTGTTGATATTTTTGTCCAGACAACACTGCAAAATCCTGTAAACCTCCTGGACAAAGCCTGGGCCTGGCCTGGGCCTGGCCTGGGCCTGGCGTGGAACGCGGCCCACGCCACGGACGTCACTCCGACGTCACTCCACTCCGGCCGCTTGCAGACGCCCCATTCCGAGGGGATCGTCTCGCCACTCCGTCCCTGTCGCACTCACGGGGCGTGCCGAAGGGGTGCGAGAGAGACGGCCCGATCCGATCCCTCGGAGTGAGGCGGCAGCCGAAGGCCTGCAGCCGTGCAACCACTTTTGAGCAAGGTCACGCAGGGCGGGTGCAAGTACGGGCGTTGTCGCCCAGCGCCACAACTGGTCCACTCGGGGGTCATCCGAGCTCCAGGCGGCACAGGGCCTGGAGCGAGGCCTGGAGCCCTGGAGTGGGGCCCTGGAGCGGAGCCCCCGCCGCAGGCACACTGTGCTGGCAGGCGGCGGACAGCGACTTCCTCACATCGGCCTGGCTCCGAGAGTCGTTTCCGTCACTCTCTCTCTCGTCGCGTTCATGAGCAGGAGTGACAGAGCTACGAAAGCGACTCCGGGGATCAGTTCGCTGCTGCAGCGCTACCATGAAGCCAGCAGGGGGCCTCAAGGCGATGCGCCGCGAGGAGGTGCAAGGCGAGCAGAGCAGGCAGAGCAAGCAGAGCAAGCAGAGCAAGCAGAGCACACTGCAGGCGGGGCGGGGCGGCCGCGCTGCTGGTCAGCCAGCATTGATTTCGACACAGCATTAGTACCCCTTTCAAGTCTTTTTGTTCGAGCCGTCCGGGCGGCAGCACGGCTGTTCGACCCAGGGCTGCCACGCTGCCACACGGACGGGGACCACACACCCACGTCGGCCTGCAGCCGGCCTGGAGCGGCCTGGAGCTGGAGCAGCACCCGCACCGGCCAGCCTTGGCCAGCCTTGGGCACCTTGGGCCTTGGGGCGTCGCCGCCACTGCCGCCGCGCTGCGCTCCAGCTCCAGCCACGGCTCCAGCACGCCGCTACGTCACCGGGGCGGGCGGGGAAGTCCAGAATTGGCGAACAAAATTAGGGTCGGCGCGGAGATTCGAACCCGGGCCGTTACGAAGCCGTACAGCGAGTCGGGAGATGATGGATATCGCTCGGACTCGTTAGAAGCCCCTCGAGTGCTGGAGTACCCCACGTGGGCGAGACACAGGGAGGCAAACCTGCAGCAGAGCATGGAGGGGGCGGGCATGGCGAGGCCTGTTCGCCCGGCCACATTTATCTTTTTTAATTGTTTGCCCACTTTTTGCACTTTTGGGGATCGGCGGCGTGGGGTTGCAGTCCCCACCCCGCCCCACCTGCAGGTGCTGCAGAAACCCCCGCCCCGCCCCGCCCCACCTCGGCGCGCCGGGCCACCCCACCTCCGCGCCGGCAAAGTCTGCCACCGAAGGTCTCACTTCCAGCGTCTTCCAGTGCCTCTCCAGGACCGGACGGGACGGGACGGGACCGCAGCACAGCCATGGCTCTCCCTGCACTCTCTTTGGTGAGTACCGCCGCTATGCCTCACTTTGCGGCCAGGCCTGCCCTGCCCGGCGTCTGGGGGACGCCCTCGCGGCCGGCGCCAGATCAGTGCAGACAGACTTCCAGGACCGCGCCAGGACTTCCAGTGCTACTTCCAGAGCCACTTCCAGAGCTACTTCCAGTGCCACTTCCAGTGCTACTCCTAGTGCAACTCCCAGGACCAGAGAGGCGTCCAGGGTGATTACCGGGACGGTACGCCGCGCGTACTCCATCCAGTGCATCATCCCGAAGGCCTGAAAGCCGCCCGGGGCGGTCCGGGCGTCTGGGTGGCCGGTACTCAATTCGCAAATGACACGCATGTTCCGGCCCGCTTGGTTCGGCCACTCGGCGCGAGCTGGTTTCGACACACGGGCGGCCGGCGCGGTGCCTCGCGAACCCGGGCGCATAAGTCTCTTACGCCCCCGCGCCGGCCGGCCGGGACAGGACCTCGCCCGGTCCGCTTTCTTCAAACCGCCCAAATTCGCGGCCCAAAGGTGAACTAGTGCCGCTGTCTCTGTCGCACGCACGACGTGATGCACGGCCCATTGTGCGCCATGGTGTCGACACCGGCCGACACACAATACTGGTCCTAATGCTATCCCGGATCGCAGAGCCCCACAGCCCGGCCGGCAGGGGCAGCTTTCACGTGTAGTGGCGTGTGGCGGCCCCGCCCGGTTCAAATTTGGCGCCTTGTCACTGCGACGGGGAAGTCCTGCCGGCACGCGCCAGACCGTCGGCATGCCTCTGTCTCTCTCGCACCTTCACGGACCCCCTCCCCTCGAGATCAGTCTCGTAAAGGAGTGATGCCAAAAGATGTGCGCTTGGCAACACGCTGAGGTCTCATCCCGAGCACTTTACATCCGAGTCTCTTCATCAGGCAGGCCGATTCGCTCTGTCTCTCTCGCACTCGAGGGGCGTTCTGCAGGGGTGCGAGAGAGACAGAGGGCCCATTAATCACGAATGGACGCGCGCGTCACGCGACCAACGCGGCGGTACGGAGTCGCGTTCAACTCGCAGTGCGCCCGACGGAAACACGAAAAACAACGCCCTTGAACCGACGCGCGTCGGAGCGGCGGCGGCGCGCTCCAGAAAACTCGAAGGTCCTTCGCGGAACCCATCCAGAGGTCCTTCCAGCTTCCAGGATTCCGGGCGGCCCGGCAACGCCACGGGCATCGCCGCCTTGCCGCCTTGGGCGTGGCAGCGGTGGCTGCTGCTCGAGATACGCGCGCCGACGTCCAACAATAAAAAACGAAAAAAGCGGCGCAAACGACGCGCCGCCGCGTCGTCGCGGCGTATCCTTCCGAAGCGAAGCTCGTTCATTTGCATCGAGACAGATTCTGGACAGCGCGTCGCTCTCTCTCGCACTCGCGGGGCGGGCCGCGGGGGCGCGAGGGAGACAGAGCGAGCGATAGATTGGGGCGTGGCCGTCCTCGATGACACCTGCCTGCCTGCCTGCCTGCCGGGGGTCTCGTGACGCAACACTGCTTTACGCATCTCGGGAGATGGCAAACATGACAGCACTCCTGAGTGACTTGCTTTCAAAGCTAATCACACGCGGCGGCGGCGAAAAAAAAAGGCGAGTGAATTTGCTTCTAGACGGCCTGCAATTACGTCATACGGAGTAACCAAAAGTGTATCGCACGCACGGCACGTCATAATGACCGTGTTACAAGGCGCCGCTCCGGTCATGTCTGCGATGCCAATCGGCCAATCGCATCGCACCCACCCGCCCTGGCCGCCCTCTCGCAGATCTGCAGTGCGATTCCGAACCGCGCTCTGTCGCTCCGCGGGACGCGCCACGCGTGCGAGAGAGACAGAGCGACTGCACGGCGTGGCCGCCCGACTCCGAAGGGTCGTCCGTCTCTCTCGCACCCCTACGAGCGCGAGAGAGACAGAGCGACGAATGTGGCGGCAGTTCCGGCTCGTTTCGCGCCCATAGAAACCGAGCGACGACGGTGTCGTATTACGGGTATTAGGGGTCGGCGCGTCGCGCATTGTGTTGGGCAACACCGGCGAGGCGGCGACTAGTGACTCGACTAGCGGCAACCCCCCTGACCGGCCGGCCGGCCGCTCCAGTCTGGAGCCTCCAGCCGACCTATAGCGATTCAGAAGTACCGACCGGCTGCTTTTAATTTGTAGCGAGGTGTGCCCCGGCACTGCCCCGGACGGGACGGGCCAATCAAAACGACGGATTACCGATCACGCGTATCGGCGCGTTGGCCAACGTGTTTCGGACTCTAGGACCCTCTGTCTGTCTCTCTCTCACTCATCTCGTGGGGCGTGCCGCCGGGGTGCGAGAGAGAGAGAGAGAGACGGAGCGACGAGATGATGATCGGACTCGACACGCGCCGCTCCCGCGGTGCGCGCAGCGCGCACCTCGCGGCCGGAAGGACTCGGGAGCGCGATTGGTCTGACCGACCGCCCGTCTGCGCTCGTCTGGTCGTAAGCGAGGAATGTCGGTGTAAATTGTCCGCACAGCGCATCCTACCCGGCCGCCAAGCGCGAGGCACTGCAAAGCGAGCAGTCGGCATCCGCAAACGCACCGCAGGCGTCAAAAAAAAAAAAAAAAAAAAAAAAGAGGCCGAGTTTTGAGTCCCGCGCGTCACGAGCGAGTTCTGCATCGGTTCGTGGGATCAAACAACAGCCTCGGTGCATGTCTTGTCCAGCCCGGGGGCCGCTCCGCTGGAGCATGGCCGCCCTGCCGGACCCTTGCTGGAGCGCATTCCAGCCTGCAATTAAGACGGGCCTGCACTGTAGGGGCCGAATATGACGCGGGCCGTTGCGCCATCCGCAGGGAAACCGCAGGGAAAAGCGCAGGGAACGCCCTGGAACTCCCTGGAATTCCCAAAGGGCGAAGGGAATGCGCGAAATGCCGCAAGGACGCCGCCAACGAGACGAAGACCTGAACGCGCGCGTGCGTCATCAGCGGACGGGTTCCTCCTGGTTCCGCCGCCGCGCCTGCAGATCCATTTCGAACAGCGCTCCGTCTCTCTCGCACTCACGGGGGGTGCGAGGGAGACGGAGCGTCGAAAAAAGGCGCTCCCGCCGGCCACGCCAAGGGCCACGCCCACGGCACGCATCGCGACAATAATGCATGTTTCGGCGCGAGCGAGCGGGACTCGCTTCGGATACACTGCAGATTGGCAGGTTGTCGACTGGCCCCGCCCTGGTCGCCCTGGTCACCTTGATGGGCCGCCTGCTGCCGCCCGGCTTGCGCAAGGCGGACTTGCCCGCGCCCAAGAGCAAGGCGTGCGGCCGTACCTACACCGCCCTGGCCGCCCCGGCGCGGCAGCAAAGCAGCGGACGCCCGGAGGAGCCAGAGCGAGTCCCCTCGTGTGCCGAGCGTGAGTGCGAGAGAGACGGAGCGACGGCCGGGCAAGGGAAGTCCCAGCGGCGGCCCGAGGAAGCTGCCGCCTGTTCCGTGTGTGTAGCACGTCCACTAGCGGCACCGTCTCCGCAGCGTCTAGCTGCTCTAGGATGACTAGGACACGCACCGCCCGCCCACGGAAACGGCGGGAGGGGGAAAGGGGGCGGGCCACTTGGTTTGGGAGTGGATTGGTCGCGACGAACCTTTTAAAGCGGATGGATTAAAAAGCGCCGCTTTAAACTGGTTTCAAAAAAAAGAAGGCGACGCGCTAACTAGAGACGTTAAGTCCGACCTTCGATCACGCCAATCGGTCAAGCAGACCTCCAATTCACACGCACCTAGCTCGACCCACTTCCTATTTGGTTCCTCACAAAAAAAAATAACAAAGTGATGGAAACGGTTCTTGTTTTTAAATTGGTTGTACGGCGCACCGACTAATCCTTTCATTCGACTCCCTCCGGTTGCAGGCTTTCCTCTTGTCCGCGGCGACGGCAGTGCCGCACCAGAACTTCTTCTACCAGGCTGCCTACCAGCACCAGCCGGCCTACCAGCCAGTGTACCAGCCGGCGTACCAGCCGGCCTACCAGCCGGCCTACCAGCCCGCGTACCAGCCTGCGTACCAGCCCGCGTACCAGGTGGCCTACCAGCAGCCGTACAGCCAGAACGTGGTCCCGATCCCGCTCGCCCACCAGTACATCCCGGCCATCCCGACGCACCCCATCTACTCCGGGCAAGCCAAGGCTCAGCAAGGTTACTCCTACGAGACCGAGGATGTGGCCGGAGGACACGCCCAGGTAATACCACAATTGGAATCCCTTGGTAAGCGTTCTTTCATGCCGCAAGATTGTAAATTAATTCTGTCGTGTGTTGCAGGTCATCTACGTATCAGGACCCAACAGTCAGCAAATTTTCCAGCAGAGCCTGAAGACCCTCCACTTTGCTGTGCCAATCTACTCGGCTCCTGCTGCGAACCAAACTGTGACAGCAACGGAACCAACCACGACAACGGAATCGGAATCAGTGACAGAGGGAGCCACAGAAGCAACTCCGACCACTACCCCAGCTCCACAGGCTGGACCACTGGGTGGGCCACAGAATGGACTGCCACAGAATGGACTGCCACAGATTGATTACATCCGTGCTGAAGTCCTGCCACCTCACACCAGAATTGTCGTTGGGGAGCTGCCGTTATTTGCCTACTCTTTCTTTTCCCACGGTCTGCAAAGCAATATCCCACCCGCTGAAGCAAACAAGTCTCTCGACAATGGTAGTAAGACCACTTCAACAACAGAAGAACCCGCTGCAAGCAAAGAAGAGACAGATGCGGAGAAATCTGAAGCGTCAACGACATTGGCACCCTCATCAGATGATTCTGACTCATTTAGCTCTTCAGACGCTTCCTCAAATTCATCATTGAATGACAATGACACTCAAAATAACAAAGGGGAGAGCAACACGGAAGAACCTGAATCAGCCACAGAAACATCAGAGAAAAGTGACAGCTGAAGATGGAGTTGTTAGATTCTGCCATAAGACCAAAAACAGTCTTCAATACCTGAGTGCTTGATGAAGCATGCCATTGTAACAATCATTATAAATATTGAACATTCATACAATTTACAAACATTTTTACAAAAAAATTGAATAAAAAAAATTTAAGCAAGATATGTATTAATGTGAAACCCTACACAGAGGTATGCAAGAAATGCTTGCAATTTAAAGAATAAAAATGAGTTACCGACTAATTGTTAGAACAACAAGTTTGAGGATCACATTGTAAGACCTGATAAACAGATTTTTTTATGCTTTTGTGTGAATGCTGCAACCTATACAGCAAGAATAAATGAATACAGACTTTATCGACTATAGTGCGATCCCAGGAAGTAAGCAGGTGATGAGGGCGCATGACATCGAGACTTCAGCTCTCAGACGCCATTGGGGGTGTGAGATGCATGAGAGGAACTTAGAAGCTACACATCGGCGTATAATTTCGCCAAACACTATCGAGCAAACGTGGAACATACACAATGACATCGTTTCGGCAGGAAATGACAGATTCATGAGAGAGGTTATGGGAAACTTGCATCATCGTCGATGCCAAGCAGTGACAGTGAATAGAAACTCGAGAAAGCCACAACGCAAAGGGATCTTTACAGTTTCAATTTCATCTATTCCTGGGTAGATATGTAAGGAACTATAGCAGAAATTACGTGTAAATTGACGGTGCACGGTCCACTCTAGTACCAGATGCATCTTACCTTGACAGAAGCCATGGGCGTTTTGGGTGAAAGGACAAGCCTTTCACTCGTGCCGATTTCGTCTCGAATTTCGTCAGCATTTTCGACCGTTCAAATTGGAACTAAAAATTTGACAGGTTCATGAAGAAAGCTACAACAACATCGCCACGAAAGCACAAACACGGAGCCGACGTCCACAGCCTTCTTGAAGAGATTTGAGAGTTGAGAGAGAAAGAGGGGGAGAGGGGAGAGGGGTTGAGTGTGAGTAGCAGACGACACAGAGCAGAGAACGTCGTTTAACAAACAAGTCGTTAACTCGCCGTAAGACAAGTGACAAGTATCCTGCATCAACCGTTCCTCAACTCTCCACTGCATTCAGTGGACTTTTGAAAAAAACTACTCAAAAATAACATTTTAAATATAGTTTTCTTGATTTGTGAGTATCAGCGCGAAGCGGCTTTATGTTTATGTTTGTTTTGCTTAGGTTAGGTTGATTTTATTATTTATGTTTACATTTTATTTATATTTATGCCCTTAAAGAAATAAAGGTTCACGTTTACCTGAAGCTAAAGCATTATTTACACTCTGCAGGCTGCGGTATCTTATTGATTCTAAAATGAACCGGCCCAAATTTTCATTTGGAGCCATAAAGTTTTCCCCAGCGGAGGGAAAATCTGAACCCAAAGAGGAAAGTGGTTCATTTGGGTCATTTGGATCTTTTGGGAAGAAACAAAGTAAGAATCAAAAGGGTCCTGTAGCTATAGAATCAGAAGCCACTGAAGATGAAGAGCTTAAACGTGTTGAGTCCACTATGGGGTTTAGCGGATTTGGAAAAAGCGCAAAACAGTTTGATCTAAACGAAATGATTGAAACTGCTAGAAAAACAGCCAAGGAGCGTACTGTTTCCACCACAGTTGGTAAGTCTCGCATTTCTTTAGTTGTTTTCATTATTTTGTTTGAAGTGATTGACTCATAATGTTTCCATTGCTTGCAGATACTAGCATTAAAGAGCTATCCATAGCAGGATCTTCAAAACAGCCAGATCCTACTCCTAGTGCAAAAGGAGGCAAGAGTGATGAAGAGGATGATGATGAAGACGATGATCTAATTGGACCACCAGTACCAAAGCCAGTATCAGAAGGAGACAGTAAAACGAAATTGTCTAGTAAAGATCCTGATGCTGGTGAAGATGATCTAAGTGATGAAGAGCCTGAAGTAAGTCTAATAGTAAGGAACTTTTCTTCTCTGGTGTAGTCAAGAGAGTAATCGTCTTTTTCTCTTTCAGAAACCAACTGATAAAATTCCCCAGAGTCATGAAGTGGCCCTGACTCATGGCAGCAAGGCAGTCATTGCCCTTGGTGTGGACCCATCTGGAGCTCGTCTTGCTTCAGGTTCAGTTGATTATGAAGTAAGGTTTTGGGACTTTGCGGGGATGGATTCCACTCTTCAAAGCTTTCGCACATTGATGCCCTGTGAGAAGTAAGTAGTGTTCCCACAGTGCCACCTCTTGTAATCTTAATCAATTTGAGACTAACCTCCTCTCTTGTTTTATCAAAAAAATAATCAGCCATCCCATCAAGGCTCTTCAGTATTCTTCAACTGGTGACTCCCTCCTTGTGATATCAGGAACAGCTCAGGTAATTTGATTTTAATGAATAGTCTATTTTTTCTGATGTTTGTTTGTACAACCATTACTTCCATCTTCTTTCTAGGCTAAGGTAATGGATCGTGATGGCTTTGAGGTAGCAGAGTGTGTGAAAGGTGACCAGTATATCAATGATATGTCAAGAACAAAAGGACACACTGCAGCTTTGAATAGTGGGTGCTGGCATCCCAAAATTCGCAATGAATTTTTGACCTGTGCCCAAGATAGGTAGGGTATATATAATCAGATTTACTACATTGTTCCTCCATTCTCATTTGAGTGATGTGATAATTTTCTTTGTATCCTCAGTACGTGCCGTTTGTGGGAAATTGAAAAGCCCAAACAACATAAAGCTCTAATGAAGCCTCGTAGTGCAAATGGGCTGAAGACTGTCCCCACAACATGCACTTACAATCGTGATGGAAACCTCATAGCCTGTGCTTGTCAAGATGGATCAATCCAAATGTGGGATCACCGTAAAGCATTTGTAAGTGGAAAATGCAGTGGTATATTAATCTTATTTATTCACTCAAAATTTTAAAAATAAAAATCTTTTAGGTTAACACAGCCAAACTGTTGCGTGATGCACATCAAAAGGGTACCGATACTTCTTGCGTTGCTTTTTCCTACCTGGGACACTCATTAGCCTCTCGAGGCTGTGACAACACATTGAAAATATGGGATCTCAGGCAGTTCAGAAAGCCTCTTCATGTGTTTGAAGATTTATTTTCAAGATATGAAAGGTATGGCACCTGCGCCTGTACTTCTTGTTTGTACAATTTTTAAGTTCTATATATTTTGTAAAACTAGGTAATTATTTTTTTGTGATCCATATCCTTATTTTACCATTTCAGTACCGATTGTATGTTTTCCCCTGATGATGCACTTATTCTAACTGGTGAATCAGTTTTAAAAGGACAGTCAACTGGCAGATTGTTGTTTTTTGATGCAAAAACATTTGAAAAATCACATGAGATTGAAGTTGGTGACTCAGTAAGTGCACTCTGAAATCAAGTTGTCTTTCTTATATTTATCAAATTTCTGTTATTGTAACCATTTGCTTTAACCACCCAATGCAGCATGTGATTCGGTCAGTATGGCACCCTAAACTAAACCAACTCTTTGTGAGCTGTGGAAATGGCATTGTCAAGATATACTATGATCAAAATAAAAGTATGCGTGGTGCTAAGCTTTGTGTGATCAAAACCAGGAGAAAACAGAAACAGGTATTACTGTTGTGCAGCGTTTTTTATTTTCTTAGGGCTTAATTAAAAATCTAAAAGGTTCATTATTCTTTTTTTCTTCATTTATCTTCTTTTAGATGGAGGCTATGGTTACACAGCATATCCTTACACCTCATGCACTGCCACTGTTCAGACAAGATAGGGCCAAAACAACACGAAAAATCATGGAAAAGGCTAGACAAGACCCTGTCAAATCACACAGGCCTGATCTCCCTATCAAATCAGGTACTGTAATCTCAAAATACTTTATTTATTATTGTGGTTTTGGTCATTATGATTTATTATCTGGGAATATTATTCCTTGTCAACAGGTCAAGGAGGTCGTGTTGCTTCATCTGGCAGCACTTTAAGCTCATATGTTATTCGTACAATGGGTCTTAGCAAACGTGTGGAGGATGATCAAGACCCACGAGAAGCCATTTTGAAATATGCTAAGGATGCTGCTGAGAATCCATACTGGATATCCCCTGCCTATGCAAAGTGGGTATTTTGTTCTTCTCGGAAAATCGTGGACAATTCACCAAATTCTCTTTTCCCAGTGGCTGTAATGTTGGATTTTTTCTTCCTTTCTAGGACTCAACCTAAGACTATATTCCAAGGCACTGGCAATGACGATGACACTGAAGGTGGGGAACCATCGGCAAAGAAACCCAAAGTATGAGCTGAGATCATCTTCAACTGATATGTTTACTGTGTGTGTGAATGTCTTGTAAAAATGTGTGGCAAGGATGTTAATAAAAAAATGATGAAACAAAATTAATTTTATTTTTATCTGCCCTGCTGATGAACACCACCTAAAATGATACTGTGACACAAAGAAAACTTGGAGTTAATAGTGGTGCACGTGCACCACGTGCGAATGGTTCCAAATAACAGCCTTTCAAGTTCAAGTTTCCTTAGTTCCTCGCTGAGACCTGTAGCGCCTGCGAGGTAGGCCACTAGCCAGGCCCGCCACACACCAATGTGGAGACGGTGGCCTACCTTGCGCCTTGCGGGCGCTGGGTAGGCCACCTTTTCACACCGGTGTATGGCAGGTCAGACCGGTGGCCTACCTCGCAGGCGCTAGACCGAATCCGCGGTTTTATGCAGAAAGGCTTATGTCCAACAGACCACGTTTCGAGTCAATCCAGTCGCCTGACCGTACTTTTAGGTGAAAGTGTTTCTGTTGCTGAGACACTGCAAAACAAAAGAGAACTAGAAGAGGAGTCCACCCATTGGCCGCTTGATCGTCATCGCGCCATCGCCATGATGAGCCGCAGACCCCAGCCGAGCATTGTTGGGCAAGCTTCAGGCCGCTGCAGACTTCTTGTTCTGTCTAGCGGCGGCGTGTTAGCATTAGTGTCGATCGCACGAGTACGTTGTCGACCTCAGTTTTGAACCATGCCTTCGTCCGAGCCCTCAAGTGTCACTCTCACCGACCAGGTATGAAAAATGGTGGGAATTCCCTGCTTCCTGAGTCGGCCACCATTACGCGCTATTTGCATGGATGGTGCTGCTGCGTTGAGGCTAAGTTGGTGATGTGACTGCCGCTCCCGCCCGCGCCAGGCCCAGACGACCGAGACCCAGGCCCGGTGCACTTGTCCCATCGAGGAGAGTGAGCAGAGCGACCCGAGCACGGCGATGGCCACGGCCGTGGCCTTCTTGGAGGCGAAGGTGCGGCGCGTGGAGCAGTGGCTGCTGCAGGACCTGCGTCACGGACGCGCCGAGCGGCGCCTCTTGGAGAACATCATCAGCATCAAGGAGGAAGATCTCGAGTACCACAAACAGCGATTAGATGGAGTTAAGGTGGGAAAGAGAAACTTGTGTGTATGTCGATGAAAGTTTCCTTTGTTACTCAGAGAGCCCTTCTGTATGCCTCTGTTGACTAGAAGCAAGCAGCTAGGCTGGAGAGGGAGCTGATCGAGTGTCGATGGGAGTTGCTGAAGTGTCGAAGGCAGGAGCGTCAGACATTTGCGGACAATTTGCATCTTCGTAGTGACAAGTAGGTGCCTCAAACTTGTGTTGTATGCATGTAGTATGCAGTGGGGTTGTGTGAGAACTATCTACAGTGTTTTTCTCAATGGTTTGATTTCAGTAGTAAACTGCAAATACTAATCACAAAGCTACGGCCCTACAATTTTAAACTCGTGAATAATTCTTTGGTACAATACTCTGATACTGAATTGTAAATAGCTCAAATGACAAATGCATCAATATATTTCAGTATTTATTTTAACTTCCTTGTAAAATAACAATATCAAGAAAAAAAATATGGGTATGATCTTACAATTTCTTTGTTTGAACAAAATAACAGTGTATAGAATATATAATAGGAATCTGAGAAAATACAATAGGATGAAAAGCTGGGAAATTGTAACGAAACAGTTATTGCTGAGAAATGTCAACAGAGACAAATTTTGTAATAGTTTATGGAAAAAATAAAGATAACAAAATAAAATGTATCAAAATTGGTTCGCCTGGTGTAAGAAGCCTTACACCTTAGAACACACAAAATGAAATGTGGGAATTCTTTGGTGAAATATACAACCTTCTACTTGCACAAAAATAGAATGAGGCTGGGCAGAAGTGAGAGTTAATGATGTACAAATCTGCTGCATAACAAAAGAAATCCTGAAAACAATATTCACTTTCACTCTACCTTAAAATTGTTTAAGCTATGGAAAGAAGATATCACAAGCTATTCAAAGCACACACAATCAATGTGTTTGAATGAAAATTTTATCTCTTAAGGAAACACTAAGAAATGAGCAGAATACGTTGCTCAAATGTAACAATTAAATAACAGGCAAAATATGACAGCAGCATTCTCCTTTTAAGATAAAATGTAATATGACATGGAAGTACAGTGCCCTGTGTAATTCAAAGGTAGAAAATGGGAAAATCTGAGAACATTCATAATAAATTGTTGTTATGGTCCCTGTACAAATCTGTGATAGCAAAATTAAAAATGTCATAGAAATGTAACGCACAATTTTCACCCATAAATACACATGTGCCCTTTTTCTACCTGGTGGGATCATTGGGGACTTTATAGAACATACACATCTAGTATTGTCAATGGATAGAATGGAATTGGAACTGTTAAACTGTTCAAAGTGCAAGTACTTAGTGACTAGAGAGATTTGCACCAATCTTGCAGGTACTATGCATTTCCCAATACACACCCTGATGGTCTAAATCTTACCATTTATGTACTTCCATGTCTTGAGCTCATAAGATTAAAACTGGTTGCATGGCTTGCTAGAGCTTCTGTTCGACTTGTTACATTAGCAAATAAATTATCTACAAGAACACTTTCTTCAACTCCAACACACTCCAACCGATTATGCTCAGACTCTTTATGTTGATCACATTTCATTTCTTTTCTATCACTATCTACTGCCCTACTTCCATTTTCCAGCTCTGATACACTGTCCTGCCTATAAGACATAGCTGCAAGAGCATCTGTCCCAACATCAACCTCAATATCATCCTCTCTTGCAGTGTGTGCATCCTGTTCACACTCATCAGAGATGCAAGTACGTGGCTTGGAAAAGTTGTCTTCATGGCTTCTTTCAGTAATTAATATATTTTCACTAGATTTTATTTCACAAGGTTCTTTATTGGTAAGGCCTGTGCCAGATTTACTCACTAAATCACAAGCACCTCCAACTGAACCCAAATCTTCCTTTGGAACAGGCCTGTAAGATAGAATTGAATTCAAATCTGATTGCTTTGCCACTTCTGATGTCCTTGAATCATTATCTAAGATTTTGCTGGAGTCTACAAGTTTTGCTAGACTCTCTGTAACTAAAGTAAATTCGGATTTGTTTGTTCTTCCATTTGGTATGTCAGTATTTGCTGAATCTTCGTCTGAGGAGGATTGGACAGTTCCTCTTCCTCCCTTTGCTTTCTTGCTAGCTCGATTATCTGAGACTATAATGTGAGCGTCTTTCTTCCCATTTGATGAGTTCGAATGACTGTGTATGACTAGGTTTGGTTCAGAACCAATGTATGCAAGGTCTGAGGTGGATGATGGAGCATTGCTCATTCGAGTGTTACTGCTGAGACTGCTACTATCTTCTGATCGTTTGATTTCTTCATATTCATCAAGGCCTTTGTCCAGTGAGTAGCTCAGGATAGCACTGCCAGCCAAGCCATCAGAGGTAACCTAAAAGTTAATCAAAGAGCAAATTTAAATTAACTTAAAAGTTGCAATATATTAAATAAAGGAAAAATGAATTGATTTGTTGTGAGAACTTACATGGTAAGAATGAGGGGGGCTCATGTAAGATCCACTTCTTTTACTGCCTGGAAACAAAATCTCTGTGCTTCCCATAGATTTTACAGATCTGTGCCTTGATCTCAGCTGGTTGGGACTGGGAATCATGTGACTTGAGCCAGGCGTAACCACACTTCCGACAGGGCTGACGTTTACTGATGACCCAACAACGTCCAATGATGAACCTGACATGGAGCGGTGGTGGTTTTCCAACCTAAAGATGGAATTGCAACAATTAGCTTAAACAGTCAGCTTAAATAATTTTCATGCATTAATCCTGAAGGTTAAAAATGAAAAGGGCAACTTGCGTTGGAAACTGGTTTAGATGGAGCAGATGATAAACATTATGGAGAGTTGCCCGAAGATCATTTGTCGGAAAACCAACCAGCCAGCGCAGTTGAGCTATATTTTTGTTCAATAAATAAACTCCATAGTGGAACTGTATCTTATCTTTGCCACGAGCAAAGAGAGGAAACCTGAAGAAATAATGGTTCAATGAGTTGGTGTATTTCCAGATGTAGGACAAAAAATACAGATGAAGTATTTCTTACTCTCTTTCCCTATCAGGAATCTTTTCAGTGATGTGGTCAATTATTTTGCTTCGTGATCCAAAATGAATGATTGGATAACGTAATGGGACTTGAAGAAAAATGGAAACCATCTGAACAAGATGAGCTACAAATCCCAAGGCAACAGACACGGAGATATCGTCAGCATGAGAAAGTTCTTCTGAGTTGGGGAGATGAATACCACAAATTCTATATTTTCCATCAGTCTGTTCAAGAAAAAGAAATGACAGTCAAGAAAAGAATTTCAAACAACACTATTGGGAGAAATTAAAAAAAAACAGCGACTGTACCAGAGTAACAGGGTAAATGTGGCTGAGAAGGGACATTAATTTTTTACGTCTGAAGCTAAGTTGTGAACTCCTCAAAAGTAGTGCTTCACGTGTTTCATTATAGTAACACTTTTTGTCTCTTAAACGCTCTATTTTTTTGTGTAAATTTTGATAGCGTTCAGTCAGCTCACAACCTGGAATTGGAAATGGGTCTTAATAAAATTGTTACCAAGAAAAATTAAAACAAGATTGAAAAATAAATTTTGGGTCTTACTACGGTCAGCATTTTCATTAGCTGTCATCTGTTGTTGCTTTTCTAAACTGTTCACTAGAGCCTGTTTGCGTAATTTCTCTTGACGAAGGAGAGCAACTCTAAAACGGAGCATTTCTACCTGGCAAAGAACAGTCATTGTCTCTTGTCTCTCCTGAGGCTTTGGTCTTCCTTTACTTAACAACCTCCGAATTGTAGGATTACTTTCTCTTGAAATATGAGCAGCCTCATTTGATGTCCCACCAGCAAGAATTCTTTCTCTTAAAAAGCCTGACTGTTGTGTTAACTTTTTGATGGCTTGCTGAATATTTCTGAGTCTGCAAGGGATGAAACACACAAAATTTGTTATTACAATCACATTTTTTCAAACAAAGCATGAGATGATAATAATGACAGAACAAAATTGAAATAATCAAAGTGTAAAGTTACCTCAAAAGAAGAGAAACTGAATAGCTTGGCCGAGTGTCAGTAATGGGAAGCATAATTGACAAATTACGGACCATGGCATCAGAAGGCACTTCCTTTAGGCTATGATGATCTGTGAAGTAACCTCCTTGCATGTGTAGTACCACAGCATTTTCATTGAAATGTGATGCAGTTACAGCCAAGCGGGGACCGAGGTAGACGAGGCCACTCAAATAGAAGCCCCAAACTAGGACAACAGTGTCCTGGCTTTGTTGTCCTTGGTGTAACCAAAGTCTTATGACCAAACCTGGATGCAGATAAATGAATTAACTTCGAAACATAAAAGTACTGTAACGACCAGCACATGATTTTAGTAATAACCTTTGGCTGAGGTGTTAACTGAGGATGGTAAACTGGACATATCCATCTCTCCCCACTTGGGGTGTTGATGTTGCAGACGCTCACTTGTATAAAAAGGGGAGGACATTGTGGTTTCATGAAGTGTGAAGTAGAGGGAGCTTCCAGGATACCATGGTACATTGTAAGCAGCAACTTGAACCATGTTCCTTAGCCGTTGCTAAATGACAAAAGAAGCGAGAAATTAAGAAAATGTTCAATTAGAAACAGCAAACTACCCATAGGAGAAAACATACCTGCTGAGAGATAAGTGGGATCCATTCCTTCCACCGAGGCGTTGGTGACAACTCCTTCCATCTTGACGAGGCTCTTTGTGGTATAAGTGACATAGCAACGATTTTTCACAAATATACATTACCTGAAACAATAAATAATATGAAAAAATAAATAGTATGTTAGCTGTCATCAAGGTCTGGTCAATCAGTTTTGTTTCTTCATCCTAATAATCAAAACTAAGACGGACTGAAAATGTCACAGAACTAAAACAGGAGCTGGTTGCAAGAGAGGAGAAAGCCTTCAAATAAGAGTAATAAAATGACAGAACACTAAAATGTCAACAAGCAGTGCATGATGCAAACCTTCAGGGTGGGGGGTTATGTCACACCCCCTATTTTCAGAGGGACTTCAGCGAGCAGAAGCAGTAAGTGTAAGAAATTTTGATGGATTCGCAAAGATACTTGAGCAGGGAGAGATAAGCAAATAACTGCTTGAGACTAACCTGTTGGTTAATGTTTACATATTAGGTTAAGTGACGTTTCTGACTCCCAAGTCACCATCTCTGTGTCCTTTGGATGTTGGCACAACTTTACAAACAGCAAATCAAACTATTTCTTGCAGCAAAAGGAAAATGAACGTGCATAGTTGTAAACGCTGGTCAAACTTCCTTGGAACGCTATGTTATAAAAAAGAGATCGGTTTCTGTGGGAGTGGAGTAAAAACAGAAACATCACATCACATAACAAGCGAACTGGTATGAGGATTTGAACTATACAAAACGCCCTCTATACAGCCCTGGCACTACATCCGGTTCATCTCGGTACGACATCCCATCCGACCCAAACAAGAAAACAAGCAGACGAAAGCAGACGGGAACGACAACGTAAAGTTGTGTTCAAGGTAAATGTCTAGTTGTGTATTTTTTTTCTCGTGCCCCTGTGTTTTTGAGTTGACGCAACACCCATTTCAGCATTTTAAGACTTAAATTTATTCAAATATAGTCCTTTATGCTTTCCTTTAACCTGCGATCTGTCTTCTTGTGTTTTCTTTGGTTAGAGTGACGCTGTTTGACAAGATTGTATTCTTCATTATGACGTCAAGTAAATAAAGTTTGACGTTATCTATCTGATTAAACAATGATACAATGGAAAGTGAAACATTATTTCCATCTGGACATTCCACTTACACTGAATCGTCTACTAAGTGCTGTGAAGTGCTGATTCCCAAATTGAGTTCATACAACCATCCAGGTGCATGTATACATTGTCTATTGTATATCTGCCAATTCGTGCATCTCTACCAAAATGGCCAAGTAAGTCAAGTCAAAAACATTCTGATTCAAATTTACAGACTTTTTAAAAATTTCATTATTATTAGTTTTTTTTTATAAAATTATAAGTATGAGTTAAATGGAGTCTGCAACTTAATGCTTAATGCTTAAAGCTTACTGGTAAATTTTTAACAACAGAAACAAATTTTGTTTGTCATTATGTTTGCTGTACCTTTAATGTCAATATTGGATTAGTCGTATGGCTTCCTTCTCTCAAGGTTACTATGGGCTTATATAACTTCCTGCAAGGGGATGGTTATGTAACCTGGTCTAGGTAGACAGGTAATAGTGTGTGGGAATGTGTAGTCTCTAGGAAGCTTTTAGCATGGCTTTCCAAGCAGTGTCTATTATTCAGTGAGTTTTACCTTTTTAGTTAACATTAACAATACTTGCTATAGACTAATTATTTGCTATTGACTTTTTTAGCCGTGAGTTGGTAATAGCATTTGTGTACGATACACAAAAGTGCACCCAAGAGGCTGATGATCCACAAGATGCAGTTTTGTTCTTCCATCCTGGCTGGGTCAGTGAGCAGCAGCGACTTGCATTATGTGGTCAGCTCATGGGAGCTACGTACTTTCTGCTCGCATCCTTCAGCCCTCCTCGAATACTCTCTCTGCAGAGTGGAAAGTTTGCCATTCGAACATTTGGGCGGTATGTTGTGGTGAGTACGGGTTTTGTTGGTATTTAGTTCAGAGGAACGATCCAACATCAATCAATGGACTAACTTAAGTGTGATTTAAATATGTGTTACCTTATTGCAGGCCATTGGGACGGACCGTAACATTCCTGAATGGGTGCTTGAACAAAGAGCTGATATCATGACCTCACTTCTGGAGCTGTATTTTGGTGATCTTGAAACTCTAGCCACTCAATGTGAAACCAAAAAGGCTGCTGGTGACACAGGTCCATCTTTTACCGAAAAACTGGGAAGAATATTTGAGACATTTCTTCCTATTGTACAATATTCCAGCCAAATTTTAGGCAATGTACCAACAATGAGACTGCCAAAGGTTTGTATCCAATAAAATTGTCCTGTTCTCTGTTGATTTATAGTCAAAGGTAATTTGACAAAGTCTGTATCTCTTTCCTATTTGCAGAGTGCCAGCCATGTCTTTTTGGAGGCGATGCAGATGCTACATTGTTGTCAAGACCAACATGGAGTTTTAGGAGGTGCTGTTCTCTACCAAAATAAGTAAGCTGATTTCCATTTTAAAAATTAATTATAATGCTACAATGAGGCTGATTTTTCTATTCTTTGTTGCAGGATAATTGCTAGTCAGCTGAGTGCCAAAATAACAAAACAGCTTGTTCTCTCTGATCCTTACCGTATAAAGGTACTGCAAACAGCATGAAATTTAAGACAAAATAATGTTAGGAGTTTTGCTCTGTTGATATTTGTATCTTATTGTTTTTTTAATTGTCTCTCTATATAGTCACCTGGGACCAATCTTGATGTGTCTTTTCAACTACCTGCTGGTGCCCAACTCTTGCAAGTGTTTATACCCCAGAGAGAATTTCACTCTCTTGCCAGAGATGCAGAACACATTCAAAATACTTTTGCCCAGGTGGACAAAGCTCCTAAGGTGATTATATCTTACAATTTACCTTTGACTCCTTTGAAGAAGGGTATTTTGGAATAGTTTTCACAAAAGATTAAAATTTTGAATTTTTTTCTTATCAGGTTGTTAGCCGCAGTTCCAAGGAATTCATTCCATGTCTGAAATCAGATAAGACCAAAATATTCACAGTTGTTGAAGAAGAAGATGGAGAAACTGAAAGTGATGTTGTTTTCTCACATACTCTTCCTCCTTCAACTTTAAGCAACTCAAAAGTTTTATCTCCCACTATTGAAGAAAACTTTGAGCCTTCAAGTGATGCTACCTCTCGTCTAGTGTGTAGCACACCCTTACGAGATTTCAATATCAATAAAGTATTACATGCACAAGCTGTGTCCATATGTAGTCGAGTAGATGCTACAGAGGTTCCCGTCAACAAAGTGCCAGTAGCAGATGTTGCTGATAATGATCTGGTAGGCTTATTAGATTTTTGCGTAACTTAATTATTACACCGTCCTTTGCAATCAATTTCTTTCCTTCTTTAAATTTAATTTTTATAGGAGGCCTTAATGCATTTTGAACTTTTTACAGATCTGCAATCCTGTAAATACCATTCCTGATGTGGTGCGAGATGCTGTTGCTGCACGCAGTAACAAGCGAAGTGCAATCGAGAAAATTCATGTAGCGATTCCGCCTAGCAATATATTCCAAGCTGTGTATGATTTGCGCACTTACCTGAAGGAGCAAACTCATGGCAAATCTTTAAGTATGAGTTTGCCCTCTATAAACACAAACAATGTTCCTATGAGGTAAAATTTAATAATTTAGATGCTACTTTAAGTTTCCTTAAGTTACCCATTTTACCCATTAGTGCCTTTTTCCCTCTCCAATCCAATGCAGGTACTATAGCTTTGGACTTCCAGTTCCGACCGATGAGCAATGCTCCCCACAAAGACCTCGACGTTGTTTTTACAACACAATAACTGACCCTTGCTTCCCTGTGTTTCGCCAAGATGGTCTTCCCTTGTCTCAAGCCCTGTTTGATGAGCAGATAGCAAATCACTACCGTGCTTTAGATAGCAAACCTGCTTTCAAAGTATGTTTGTTGCACTCTTCTCTATGTTGTTATATGTTTGCTCTGTTGTTCACATTATGTTAACAAATACTGCTTTATGCCCAGGTGAAGCCTCTACAATCAAAGCCTGCGGTCACTGCAAGACTCCCGCCACGTGCCTCCATTCCATTACAGCCTGTTAAATCAGTATCTGAAAAAGAGGTTCCACCTACCAACATTCAAGTTGAGCCGTCCAGCCAGCCAAAGAAACGTCCAGTGAGTCTTGCTCTAAAGACCATCTCAAGCCCAGAGGGTGCACCCAGTGACGTCAAGATGGAAGTTTCAAAGGAAAGTTTCAAACCTCCAGCACAACCAGTGAGACCAACTAGTTTAAATGCCCCATTGTCAAATAGGCCTACTACTCTGTCAGGTTTAAATGATACAAAGGAGGTATCTTCAAATTCTAATGAAAATAAGGCTCAACTTGAGGAGAGGAAACGCATAGCTCAACAAGCTTTGCCATCAGTTGCTCGTCCAACCAGCCTAAGTGGCGGACTTGCAATCACACCGCTTATGGCAAAACTGAGTCATTTAGCTCTAGATCGGTATGGGGTGATGACACCAGCCACAGATCCAACACCGAGTGAGCCGAAGGATATGACATTTTCTAACAGAGGTGAGTCCCTTGCAAACCCTGCATTTCTTCTTGACTTCTACTTGAGGCCTTCCAGCAGTATTGGACTTAATATTTTTCTCTTACAGTTGAAACACCAATGGTCCCATTTCCCAAACCATTGCCACGTCTCAGTCAGTCTGACTTGGAGGAATTTGCTGGTGATGGCAACAGAGAGGCAGTGCTTCTTGTTTGTGGCATGCAGAGCATGTCTCTCTTACTCTTGCTGGATCCAAAATCAGTCAGCTCTGACTTGTTAAAAACAGTGGTAAGAAATTATCAAATATTTTATCTGGAGGAATATAGCAGATTTGTCAGCATTTTTTTTTTACTAATAAATACACTGTTTTGTTTACCAGTGGGATGTGTCATTCCCTAGCATGGAACATCTCGAGCAAACCATGAATCATTCTCTAGACCACGTCCCAGCAGCTGGCAATAGTGGTGCTGACTCGTACAGTTTTCTCTGCATTGACCCTGCATGGGATACTGTGCATAAAGGTGGGGTGTGGAGTGGCCCTGAACTCGAACTTGTAGGAAGCTTGCATAGAGACTTTCAAGACCAACCCAACCTCACAGAAATATGTGTCAGGTAAGATTTTACATTCAATAAATCTTTCTTTATGTCTGTTATTGTTAAAACGATTGTAATTATGTAAGACCCATCTCGCTTTCAGGGTCCACGAAAGCCTAGTGTATGGTTACCAATGTGGTCAGGCAGAGGTCTTTTACCAGCAGCAGCAAGCCGGCCAAAGTGGCGTTGGTCTTCCCACCCCAGCAGACCTGATGGGCACTGTGCCACTGAAGGCAAGGCGTAGACTAGAAAGAGATCACGGTATTGTGCTGCTATAGACCATAACCATAACCTTCTAGTCATTGTGCTTATGCATAACTTAAAAAGAAAGTGCTACTCAAGAGTTTGTTTCACTCTGACTCCTTTATGAAATTGATTTGTCACATAATTTCAAGTTTGTTGCACTTAAGGCCTCCTACTTAGTCAGAATTGCCTGACATAATCATACTGAAAGCTATTAATATTTGGGTGGAAGCCAACCAATGAAATTTCTTGGCATTTGTGATGTTATTTTGCATCCATTCTAGTCTTTTGTTTTGATTATAGACATGCATTGATGACCAAGCTGTTTACTTTTATGAATTTCTTCTAAATTTAGAAGATAAATTTTTGATGACTTGGGCTTTTGTGCTTTTTTCTGTAAATGATAATGTACTGAAATTGTGATTATGACATAATCATACTGTAAAAAGAGTTAAGGGAAAATGTATGGAGGTACAAAGATTTTATTAATGAACCATTTTTTGTAATTATGGGATCAGTGTTACTGGTATGTATTTTAGTTTGTGTATTGTTATTTTTTTAAGGTTTTGAGTTTTTATTGTCCTTTTATTGGATTGTATTTTTTATATTGACATTCCCAGTTGACTGTTTGGAGGGGTTTTAAGAAACACATTTTGGTTGTGCTTTTGTTTCATGCAATGAGAGAAATAATTCAACCCCATGTGTCTTCATTCGTAATTGATACAATTATTGCTTCTGTTTTCAATGTGACCTCTATTTATTTTGTTGTCGTATCTTTACATTCCTAAAGAGCTTATTTATATTAATGTTCATTTTATTCAAACATGTTAAGAAACTTGTAGTTTCCATTTTTTTTATGGAAGAATTGAAGTCTTAAGCAATTATGTTAGACTATATAGTAGACAAGCTTTAGGTGCTTAAGAGTAGCTAAGCGCAGACTGCATTATGGTGCCATTTGATTTTGACCTTGTTAGTGTACAAGCATATTTCAGAATAGGTGCCAAAGTATTTGCCATTTTATTTTGGACTTCTTTAGGATGTTTAATTTAGGCAGCAGGGTACTTTAACTTGGTCAATCAATATCATATTAAACACTCTGCTGATTGTCTTTATTTTTTGTTATTGTTGTTTTTGTACTTTTGCAGAAAAATAATGAATAGGAAAAATGAAATGTTCATTTTAGATTTCATGTGATGTTGCTAGCCAAATTTATAATTTTCATCCCGGTTTTGTAGACAATCGCTCAATGTTGTGAACCTGTGCAGTAAGTCTTTTGCTCGGACATCAAATTAATTTGATAGGTTGCTAACAATGTCAGATCTCACATTTGCTGGAAGAATGTTGTGTGTCAGTTTTATTGTGTGCTGAAGTCAAATTATTCTACATGTGAGAATTTTAAGGTTCTGTAGTTTTTAGGTAGTGCTAGTTTTTGTATTAGTAGTTAGTACATGAGTTCAGCCATATCTGCTATACCTAGACTAGTGTAGTTCCCTCTCTTTTCCCTTTCCATCTTTCTATTGTCTTTTCATCCGTTCATTTTTTCTCATTGGTTTCTGCCTATTGTCTGTGTCTTTATATAGGAACTCGCGATTTTTGTGTGCTCCTGATTTCAAATGTGATCATCAGTGGCTTGGCTGTCCACAATTGGAGTCTTAGTTGTGATTTTTAAAAAGAAATTTAAGTGCTCTGATGGTTATCTCAAGTGATATGAAGATGCAGTGTAGACTGTCTTTTCTTTCTGTTACACTCCTATATGTTATTTTTGAGTAATGAGTCATTCATTCCTAACTTTTTTCTTTTTATTAAAGCGGTATTGTATTGTTTGCATATTGTTTTGTATCTTACAGAAATCCTTGTTTCCACACCACTGTTCAAGTCTAAAAAATGCAGTAGATAATTTCTGATTTTGACAGTTTGTGCATTGTGTTCTGAGAGGAACTTTGATTTAGGTACTTTAAAGAATTTTATCAGTTAGCATTTTATTTTTTTCTATCTTTCACTTTCTAACAAAACTAGCTGTGGGACAGCAGAGGAACTTGAATGCAGGGTTTCAGATCTAATGAAGGGGAAGTCAAAGAGTCTTATGAGGAATTGAGTAAAAGTCCTGAAATTCTGTTCCACAGAACCCTGATTTTGTTTTCCAAACATCACTTGAGTTCGGTTCTCACTTACAGTCTACATCTTAATTGTCTTATCCAAGAGAACTGTAACTGTGCAGGTACACTACTTAATCCTAATGTAGGTTCTCTTAAAAATTACTACAGGAGCCTACTGTAAAGCCTCCACTGGCATATCTTTTGCTGTCATGCATCGCCCGCGACAAAGTATTTCACAAGATTTACAGAGTGCTGCCTCTTCTTTTCTACAGCCACAGTGGGAATGAGGAAGGGCGTGGTGGGGTGAGTGAAACCCACCAAGCTCGTCGTAAGCCAGAACACTCTCCGGTAACTCAACATTGAAAGGAAATTTAAAACAAAGGGGAAACTGGACAGTGAAATCAGTAGCATCGGCAGCGACTTGCGGGACATTGGTTCGTCGATCGGTAGACTATACATTTGTCTTGGCAGTAGACGTCGGCACCTTCTCTGCCCGCCAGTTCCCCGATCGCCTCGCAGGAGTCCCTGTAACACAGACAGCCAAATTAGTAGTGCAGCGTGCAAGTCGAGGCAGGGCCAGACGAGGAAGGGAGGGAGTTTGCAGGAGGCCTCCCCACCCTGCCCCTGCTGCCCCTGTCTGGAGTGTGTGAAGAGTGCCTGATAGCCTGACTGGAACCCAGATTTTTCCGAAAAGTCGGTCCTGTGTACTGGTGGGCCGGTGGGTGCTACTTACGGGCAGTGGCAAACCTCCGGCGGGCAGTTGGGCGGGTACCGCAGGCAGTTTGTCTCGCACCAGTGGTCGATGCCGGGGATGCGTCGGTACCGCGGCGTCGCTAGGCACACCTGGGATCTGTAGAGGCAAAGGAAAGGGGAGTTGTGAAGTGCTGAAGTCCGAAACACGAGGCGTACAACGCGGCGAACGCGGTCTAGCGCCTGCGAGGTGGGCCACCCGCCGTCATGTCACACACCGGTGTGTTGCGGTACGGGACGTTGGCCTAACTCACAGGCGCTTCTTAGCGCAACGGCAAAGGCTTCTGTCCCTCTCCCATTCACGGTACCTCCCGCCGGGGTGCGAGAGAGACAGACTCACCTGATGACGAGGGGGAACAGGTAGTTGGGGGCGCGCAGGTCGCGGACGAACAGCAGGTAGGGGTTGTCGGAGCTGGCGAACTCCGGCGGCAGTCCTCCGCCGGTGGACGTGGTGATGGTGACGTCGGCGCAGTTCCGGAACGTCTCCGGCCGTCCGCAGCCCACGGCCTCGGTGCCGTTCGGGCAGGTGCCCCACATGTTGCCTGCAAGCACAAGGGGGTGTTCACCTACACTGCCTCTGACCCGCGCGGGCTCTCGCAGCGTGCTCCCCGTCAGTACGAGGCCCGGTGCGCCCCGTGCGGCCCGGCGCCGCGCCGCGTCGTGGGCGAGGGCCCCGCGGCCCCCACCGCCACTGTCCGCCAAGCAGCGGCCGGCAGCATGGCCTGTCGCAGCGCGGCCTGTCGCAGCGCGGCCGCCCTGGCCCTGGTGGGCGCGGCGACGCTGGCGCAGGTGACCGACGCCGCCCTCTCGTTGACGTTCGTCGCACCGCTTCGTCCAGCAGACCGGGCCACGTCGCTCCGTCTCTCTCGCACTCCGGGGCTCCGCCAAGGGGCGCGAGAGACAGAGCGACGAAGCTTGGAATGAGCCTGCAGCCCGTCCGACCGTCTTCCGCAGGTGTGTCTGGCGATGGCGGGGGCGGCGGGGCCGGCCGGCGACGTGGAGGCGGCCGCGGCGGCCGCGTACGGCGTCTACTCCGCCAACCCCGGCAGCAGCAACCCCGGCGGCCCGGTGGACGCGGCGGCCGCGCAGATGCTGTCCTTCAGGCAGGGCGGGTTGCGTCGTCGCACCAGCGTCGCTCTGTCTCTGTCGCACTCATGGCAAGGCCTTCTCCAGGGAGGCGACGGCCAGGGTGCTGGAGGCGACGCACGGCTGGATCAACTGCCTGCTGTCGGCGCGGCCGCGGCCCCCGCCCGAGATCGCCCGGTGCACCGAGGCCGCGCTGCCGCACGTCGCCGACATCCTGATGGCCGTCACCACGGCGGGGTGGGCCATCCGCTTCAAGTCGCAGGACGAGCTGGACGGCATCCGGAAGGCCATCCAGCGCATGTCGGACGTCCGCACGCAGGTAGAGCTTGCCTCGCTGCGGCGTGTCTCCGAAACGAACCGAGCGACGTGTAAACAGAGCTGCTCTGTGTTGTTCCTCCTGCTGCTTTGCTAGAGACAAAAGCACAGTTTGGTCTCGAACTAACTCCGGTGTGCTGCAGGTGCACAGCTGCGTCGAGGGCCTCAACCCGCACCTGCAAGTGTCCGGCCGCTGCTACACTGTGCTGTAGCACCAGCCTCCTCCGCCGACCGAAACGTCACCGATGAGGTACAGGGCGCGACCCCACAATAAAACGAAAGGCTGTGAACGTGAATCGGGTCTGCGTCTTTGGCGAGTCCTTTCGGAGCGGGCGCGCTGCGCGCTGCGCTACGCGGCGGCCGCCCCCGCGGCGCTTTTCGACGCGCTCCCTCGTTCCGCGAGAGGGCGAGAGAGACAGAGCGACGTACCCGTGTAGTAGGTCCACTGCATGACGCACTGCGTGCACGTGACGTAGGGCGGCAGGCGCACCCTGTACCGCAGCACGGCCTTCTTCTTGGTGTTGGGCGGGATGTGGTAGGCGCGGTCCCGGGTGCCGGACACGTACAGAGGGTACCTGCAGGCGAACGCCCCCGAAAAACAAAAAACAAAAATCGCTGGCGTTAATTTCTGGCACTGCCTCGGCCACCGCGTCGCGCTGCCCTTCGGGAGTTTTATTGCCCCCTGTCGGGTCGAGGCGTAAAACGGCGAGGCCCGGCCAAGCGCGGAAGGGAAGGCTCACCTGTCGAAGCAGCCCTGGGTCGCCTCGAAGGCCGGGTTGTTGTTCGGGCACAGCGTCAGCTCGAAGCGCCCCCAGTGGTTGGCGGTCAGCTCGATCTCGATGTCGATTTCCTGCGGCACACGTCAGGTTGGGGTTGCCGGGCGTAGCGCAATGGTTCATGGCCGTGGAAATTTTTGCCGTGGCAACACTGACTTTCTGACGGCGTCCTGATTTACCTGTCCCATGCTGTACCTTCTGCCGATGATGCCCTTGGCGAACTGGCCGCCCGCCTCGTGCGGTCGCGTCTCGAAGTGCCAGGGGTCGCCGCACACGCCGCACCGGCCCTGGTTCTGGTCCCACTGCACTGCAAAACGGCAAACGACCAGCGCTCGTCACTCTGTCTCTCTCGCACCCCTACCGGACGGCCCGTGAGTGCGAGAGAGACAGAGCGAGGGCCCAACAAAGGACGGCAAGGACGCGCAGCACGCCAAGGACGCGGCGTTGTTGGCGAGGACTGCCGAGCCGAGGGCCGACCGTAGGCCGCGGGGCGGGGCGCCCGCACTCCGCGACTCCGCGCACCGCCCGTCGCGCCATTTGTCCGTGCCCGTCCAGACCGCGGGCCGCGTCGCTCGGTCTCTCTCGCACCCCTACGGACCGCCCCACGAGTGCGAGAGAGACCGAGCGACGACCCTTTTCGGAGTGGGCCTGCTGGTCATGCTCAGTGGGTGTCAAATCTCGGAGCGTCATCGGCGTCGCGTCGTCGCGGCCCCGACCCGGCGGGTCCTCTCCTCTGCTCACCGGCGTAGCCCCCGCAGAACAACTCGTTGTCGTTGTAGTTGACGGGGTTGGGGAAGCCGAAGCGCCACATGCTGTTCCTGGCGGGCGGGTCCATGAGGCGCCCATGGCCGAGCGCGCCGCGGCACAGCTGCGAAACCGCACACAAGTGGTTTTACTTCACACACAGTTTAAAAAAAAAAACAATAATAAAGAAATTAATATAAGTCGGCAGGCCATATTTTTCGTGGGTAATTGCCAAACCGGCAAAGTGGCAAATTACAAAGACAACGCCCTCCTCCGCGGTCGGCGGCGCAAAGTGCTTCTCGGAGAGGGATGAGTTATTTCACGGCCGCGTCCTTTTCCGGGGGATTGGCTCACCTGGAGGAGAAGCAAGGCGACTGCAGCGCCCGCAGCGCCGCCCCTCGGCTGGAGCATGGTCTGCAACGCAAACGGAAATCGTGAGTACGTACAGCGGTGGCGAAGAAGCGGACCAACATCAGCTGCTTTGGACTGGCGAATTGGAAGCTTTTACCGTGGCGCCTCATAGTGTGCAATGGCTTCAGTGTCAGTCCGGGCAGCGCGCTCCACACCGTCACGTGCACGCGCACGCACACACACACACACACACTCACACGGACGGCGCGCGCGGCACGCGCCAAGACCGTTCGCCGAGCCAAGCACGCGTCACCATTGACAGGTCAAGCTGTCTCTGTCTGGGGTTTGGCCGGTGCTCCCATCCTCCACACCCCCCACCCCACCTCACCCCGGCCGGCCGGAGGACGCCCCGGGCTGTCTGTCTGTCTGTCTGTCTGTCTGTCTGTCTGTCTGTCCGTCTGACGCGAACAACTACTGCCCCAACTATCCGCTTGATAGTCTCGCACGCGTTCGGCGTGCCAGAGCCGCCGGAAGTGCGAGAAAAGTGGGGGAGGTCTTCCACGTTTCTTTACTCATCTCTCGGTTTTGCAACTGTCCGCAAACGCAAAAAGAGTGCCGGCACGTCACATTTCGGGAGGACCGCGCCGGATTTCTCATTCATGTTTTGACGGCGAGATGCGGCGTGGCGTCGGTAAGCCTGCAGTAAGCCGACGCGTGACGCGCCTTGCGTCAGAGTAGCCCTGGTGTAACGCTACCTTGGCCGTGGCCATGCCTTGGCGGCAGCGGCGGGGACGGGTTCGACTCCCCCGGCCGGTAAGGAGCCCCGCCCTCTTCGGCCCGCCCCGCCCCGCCCCGCCCCGCCCCGGCCGAACACACCCAACTCGTCCCGGCGGCGAGGAGGTCAGGGACCGTGGAGGCTGGCCACCGCGGCAGGGCGCGGCGCGGCACGGCACGGCTCGGCACGGCGCGGCACGCACGGGCCCGGCCTGCGGCATTTGGCCGTGTTTACCATTGTAATGCCTCCTGGCGCGGAATGAGGATCAGCGCCCCCGATGGCTATGCGATCTGATACCCGAGGCGGGGAGCGGCCCGTTTGATACCGTTTTTCCGCCAATTTCCCCCCTATTGTGGCTCGCGAACCCGCGCCTAAGCCGACAGTTAATTTGAATGAGATGATGCGAGCGCGAGATAATTATTTCGAGGATCCGCCGTGGCGAGCACCGTCGGATGAAAACTGACGGGTTGAAAATAAAACAAAATCCCTCGAAAAATTGACAGTTGAATGATGTGCGAAGCCGGGACCACCGTGTGATAAGCATCAGCGGCTGGACTCCAGATGCATTTTAAATTATGAAATGTGAAGTGAAACTCCGGCAAAGTCGCTCGTGGTCTGCTATGGGATACAACCGTCCTGGTCTAGGGTCACCGAGGTTCACACCCCCGCCGCGGTGTGCCACCATGGTGACCCAAAGTCGAAAAGTGGCAGGCCGCGCTGTCGCTGGCTGGCCATGATGGCCGTCAAGCGAAGGCGCGGACAGGCTGGGCGTGGCTGGGAGCGTCATCCAGGCGGCGGCAAAGTACTGCCAGTGCTAAGTGGAACCGCGTTAAAAAGGCAAAAAAAGGAGAACGTTTTGAAAAAGGAACAAATGTGCACGCCGCTCCGATTGAGAGCTCCTGTGGGGAACAACACCTAGGTGCTCCGACTCCAGGGTTTGAGGAGAATTAATCAAGAAATCGTGACCCGACTTCAGGTAGTCGATGATTACAAGTATAGTTGTTTAATGCCTGAACCGGTATTTGAGCTTCACGTCAAGTATTCCTGGCAGCTCAATCGTGAACTGATTTTGTCAGAAAATGGATGTTGCTATACAGATTCGTGAAACCCAGGTACTTAATTTCAATTTGGCCGGATCAGAGTCTGGGCAAAGTGCTTTGACATGGCTGCAAGCACGCCCGTCAGCCAGTGGTCAGCCACAGACTCAATGTGACAGACGGACGGACAGACAGACGGACGGACGGACAGACAGGCGGACTGACGGACGCTGGAACGGGAGGACTGATGGCCGGACAAACGGCTGGCACGAATGAAGGCGCATTATTTGCGGTTTCGCTCTCCTTTGCTCCCTTTTCCCTATTTCCTGTCTGGGTGTGGCGTGGGTCGCGGTGCCGTGGGACAGCCGCCGAGGCCCCGCCCCGCGCCGCCCCGCGCCCCGCCACTGCAGGGGCGGGACAAGGACGCCGCAAGGACGCACTGCACTTCGTTCATTCGTTCATTCATTCTCATTCATTTTCTTTCATTCATTCATTTACATTCGTTCATTTGCATTCACAAGTGGGGTGGCCACAAATGTTGGGCTTCTCGTTAGAGGTCGAATAAAGCGGCGTTTTCGCAGTTTTCGTCAACTGCTTTGCAGCCTCCTGGTCGGCCGACAGCCCGAGATCTCCCGCGCAAGTCTTATTTCCCACCCCGACGTTTGGCGACCGCGCACGTAATGTACAGCATGGCCCGCAGCGCGACGCGGAGACAAGAGGAACACCGGTCGCCACTCCGCAGCCCGCGCAGCCCCCGCCGCCAACCTGCTAGCCATTCCGCGCGGCGTGTCCGTCGCTCTGTCTCTCTCGCACCCCCACAGGCCCACGGGCAGCCCCGCGAGTGCGAGAGAGACAGCGCGGCAGTCTGCACCGCGGCGCGCCTTATCAGCGCTGTGGCACTCTGTGGCACTCCGTGCGCGGCCATTTGCCAAATGGCGCGCGTGTCACGATCTCGCTTGATGTATGAGCTCGACGCGATCCGGGGGGAGGAGGGCGGTGATATCCAGAAAATTAGGACCTTGAGTGGATTAAGTGGATTCATCCCGCTTCGGTCCGCCCCTTGGGGGTCTCCAGGTTTCCATCCGACAGGACACGAAGTTGTCTCCGCGCTCTCGGCGGTCCGCGCAGATCTTAGCGATGACGACGGCCTGTATCGACCTATCGAAACACCTGTCGAGACGGTCCAGAGCGCGCGGCCGGCGCCGCACTGCCGCCGCTGGACAAACTTTTCCATGACTTACGAACTCGCTCCTTATCATTCCTTCCGGCAATGAAAATAAACACAACCGGAGGGGGAGGGGGTTAAATGGTGGCGTTGCTCAATCCGAGCGGGCTCCTGATTGGCTGATGGTCGCACGCCGGGGAATGCCCTGCGCCTGCAGGCACGCCACGCAGGGCTGCCAATTTATGCGTGGAGCAGGCAGAGGGGTGGGGGAGGGGGATTTATTTGCAAGCGACTGGGCGATTACCGGCACGGAACCTGCGTGGCGGACTCCGGCAGGACTTCAGCAGGATCCCCAGGCGGACTCGGACAGAGCCTATGCTATCGGTAGGTGCGAGTCAACAGGCCTCTCAGGAGGCTCTCCAGGGCGTTGTTCCCCTCCCCCTCCCTGTTTTCCAACACAAAGGTAACCGCGCATGAAACAGCAAAGCAACAAGCCGGGCGCCAGGCGACGCCAGGATGAGGCCAGTCACCCGCACGTGCCTCCGGACTGATTCACGCCGCCCCACGGCCCCACCCACGACGGGCCGCTCTGTCTCTCTCGCACCCCCACAGGACCTAACCTAACCCAATCCACAGGGGCCCAGACACAGTGTGCCCTCTGCCTGCATCCTCTGGCAGCGCGGAGCGGAAGTGGTGCTTATGGCCGCGGCAGCCTCGCCTTTGGCAGCGATCGGCGGCCTGGACAGCCGGAGAGGACCTCGAGGTCCGCGACGAGGACGGCGCTCTGTCTCTCTCGCACCCCTACGCGGCGCCCCGTGAGTGCGACGGAGACAGAATGGGCTTGCTGGAGGACCGACGTGCGTCAATGCGACGGGGGAGGACCGTCTCGGCGAGCTGGTTTCCGGTTTTCGGAAAGCGCGGGAAGAGAGCCATCTTGCCCGCGCACTGCGCGAGCAGAGGCTCCAGACACATCCAGGTTTTCCCGCGAAACCCCGAAACCCGGTGGCGACGTACTCGGCGAATAACAACGAGACATGTCTAACGGCACCGAACGGACCCGGCGGACGGGACGGGACGAGTCGCGGCCATCCCGCAGGCTGGCCGGAGAACCACCCATGACAAAATGCCGAATTTTAGTGGCGTGCGTCTCGTAAACAGCGACAGTTACACGCGCCAAGCGCCTTGGATTCCTGGCAACGGATCGCCTTCTTTTGTCATTCTGTGCGCGGTGGTGCCCCGCGCGGCCGTCTAATTCGAGGGAAGCACCTTGCGAGAGGCCGATACGGGCAGACACTGCGTGCCGAAGAGGGTAACCCGCTTGCCGGCTCAAGATCAAGATCACGGTCACGGGCAGCTCCGCCTCGCGGGGGTGTGGCGTGGCGCGGCGTGGCGCGGCGTGGCGGCGCACCGCTGGGCCCGTGTCGCGGGGACCGGGCCGCGCACTGTGTGGCCCGTGTGGCCGCCGCGGCACCGCGCTGGACCAGCGAGCCTGCCCAGCCCCTATGACGGGACAGTTGCCATGGTCCTGGACTTGAACGATACCCGCCAAACAGGTTGCCGCCGCGCCCCGCCCGCCCCGCCCCGCCCCGCCCGCCCCGCCCCGCCCCGCCGGCAAACGGCCCTTTTTGCAAGGGGCTTTGCCTCCTCCGCCCGCAGCCCCGCAGCGTCGCGCCAAACATCGCCGACAGCCTGCCGTGCAATTTGCCGCCTTGCCGGCAGCCCGGCAGGCGCCGCTCCTCCTATTTCCCCGTGACAGTGATTTGTGGGTCCCGGGCGCGTCGGCCGGGTCGCGAACACGAACGCGAACACGAACGCGAACATGGGCCGCGAGGTGCGCGCGTCCAACGCACTATCAGACACCTCGCGGCAGGACAGGACATAGCGGCAGCGGACTCAGTCCGTTTCAGGGGTGACTCAAGGCGTCGACCTAAAGTCCGCCCCGCTCGTACCCAGCGTCACTTAATGAGACGTGCTCATCACCAAAAAACACAAAAAATATACCGTGAACCCACAACAAATGCGCGAGATTTGAGATTAGAGAGACGAAGAGCAAAAGCAAGCAAAGTCCCATTTCGTGTTCGGGAGACATAAATTGAAAACTCGAATAAAGATCAAGGCCAAGCCCACCAAGCCAAACGGGTCAAATCGCATTAGAACGACCTGGCCTCTCTGGTTTGCTCAAGTGTCTGACAGGAACTCCACTGCCAATTTGAAATTTTAAAAAGGCAAGAAAAAGGAGGGGGTCAGCAAAAATATCATGCAAAATTTAATTTTTTTGCAATCAAGTAAAAACTGGCGGTCATTAAATTCAGTTTTTAAAAATAAATTTTAGATTTTTTAACTTTGAATTAAGGGCATTGATTCACTTAAGTTGAAATCGGGTCGGTAAATTTGATTTTTGGGCGAAGATTGGCAAATCGAAGGAGGAGTTCCGATCACGTTCGACGAATGTGTTCGGTAGGCGGGCGTCCGCAGAGGCCAAGGCTAGCCAAGGCGCCCCGACTCACCAGGGAGTGCCGGCGCGACACGAGACGGGGTGGAAGCGACGTATCCGCGGACGTCTCGCGGCGTCCAGGCGTGTGCACGGTCGCGAAGTGCGGAGCTGCGCCGCGGCGACGGTGCGTGAGCGTGCGTTGGGGCGTGCGCGGTTCGCTCGACTGCCAAAGCGGCAAGGCAGAAAGCAGCGCCAAGGCGAGGCGGGCGGGCCGGACGACACACGACCACCGCCAAGTGAGTGTGCGGAGCGGGGAGGAGCGATGCGCGAAGCGCGATGCGAACGAACCCCGGCAGTCCGGCAGGTGGGACGTCAGCCCGTCAGGCCGTCAACAGGTCAGTGCCAGACCGCCGGTCCGCCGGTCCGTCGGACACAACACTGGCGGGGCGCGCCCCTCCACCGCACACGGTCCCCGCCCTCCTTTCGACGGGTGTTACATTGCCGCGGGCCGGGGGCACGCGCGCCGGGGGCCGGACACCGGGGGGCCCACCGGAGTTCGCGGGAAGGCGCGGAGGCCCGACAGCACGGCGCGGCGGCCTGCCCGGGGTTCGCAGGCGCTCTGATGACGGAAGGGGATGTCGACCCATTTGCACCCTGCCTGTTTGGAGCCATGAGAGAAGGGCGCCCTTCTCTCATGTTGAAGCCAGGCATCGCGGTGGAGCGGCCACCTACCCGGCAGTCAACGCCGAGACTTTTCGTGTCGACGCGACCAGCCCGGCAGCCGGAGCAAAGTAACTCGCTTATGCACTTCTGCGATGCCACGTGCATTGAAGGTCACCGCCGAAAAGGGATTACATCACGGCAGTTCCCATGGGTCAAACGGGAGCGCGACGGCAAAGCGACCGCAAAGCCACGGCCCTCCAGCCTGGCGGATATTCCGGGGCTCATCTCGGATTGAGCGCGGCGATAAAGCCGCCGCCCCGTCTCGCTCGCACCCACGCCGAACGCCGCTGGAGTGCGAGAGAGACGGGGCGACGGAGTGCCGACAGTCGACCAGGTCGACGAAGGGTTGATGGGCGGACGACAAGTGCGCGCGGCGGTCCAAGGGCGGGCCAACGGCCCACACCGCACCTGTGGTGCGCACTGACAGGCGTCACTCTCGATAAGAGTGGAATCTGCGGACTGGAGTCCAGTTCCTCGCATGGGTGCGTAACACCCCCACCCCCTTTTTCTGTCCCCCCGGAGTGGAGCGGCGCGCGCCGCCGATCTGGTTATGCCACTCCGCTCCGCTCCGCCGCGGGCTGCGCTAACCCCTAACCCACCCCCTGCGGCTGCGAGCGGGGCGAGGAGAGGGGGACACTAGTGTCTCGTGTACTTGCCGTCTCAGTGTACTCACCAAGCTTGGGCGAAATTCTCTAGTCAACCGACTTAACGTTGAGTGCGTTAAAACGCTTAAGCCTCCTTTTAATGTGAATTTATGAGTAACCAAGTTAACCCCTATATGTACTCAAAGTTACACCCGAACGCTGATGTCTTCGGGAGGAGCCGTCGGAGTACTTGGCGCGAGCATCCACTGCGCTCTGACCATTGCGGTGGAGAGCGTCCCCTCCCCCTTTTGCTATCTTCGACGAAAAAACTTGATGATCAAGTTCACGTTACGCTTGTTATGCTTACGGTAGAAATTCTAGTACTTGCGCAAGCATGCAGTGGCTTGTTGGAGTGACTGCCCCTCGCCCCAAAAGGCTTTGCAGAACAAATTGACGCCTACGCTGAAAAGTTGCGCAATTTCTCCCCGGAAACGTCTGGTTACGCCACTGTTGCTCAAAATTCAGCACCGCACGGAGCGTGCCCGCGCTTGTAAGCAGTGCGCTGGCTGTGATCCCGCGCTGGCGCGGTGAAAGGCCGTGAAAGGGAAAGGGTCAAGGGAAGGCCTTCCCCGATGGGCTTGATGCCAAATCGTGAATGAATGCGTCGTCCCTATGGCGCTGGCCCTATGGCTAGCCGCTAGCGGTGTGAGGAGCGCGTTCGGTCGGGTGGGACGTCTCTCTCGGACACAGGGAGCTTTCTCTCTACAGGGTGTCGCAGATCATTTGTAAGTTGTGTGTCATGTCCTTCCAACGAACTCTCACATGCTTTACTTTGCCAAACTTCACCTAGGGTTTGACTCACGGAGGGCTCTGCGTCTTATGACATTCCGGGATCAAGGGGAAAGAAAGTAACGACAGTTTCATCGTGCTGATGTACAGTGTGCAGTTTATTGTATACCTTTACAAGACAACACTGGAAAATCCAACACCTACTGTACATATATCCTCTATGACACATCATAGATTGTATGTAGTTCAACAATAATTTTAATCTTGATTCTGAACATATCTTTTGAGGATTAATGATGCTATGATGTTAAGGAAAAAAGTAAATATGTTAGTTTAAATTTATTCAACTCTCACAATAAAGCACATTTCAGCATGCCATTGATTATGTTAGTTCAAGAAAAGTGTCACACTTAAGCAATACCGCCATCTCATGAGAACTAGATAAGAAGTAAAAGGGCTTACTAATTAAAAAAAAAAAAAAAAAAATTAGCTAATGATACCGAAAGACTGGCATTTAAAAAGTAACTAACACAAAGGACATAAACTTGTTAAATTTGGTGCCATAATTATACCTAACCTTAAGAATAAAATACAGAAAGAAATTATTTCAGAAAAAAAGTCCTTACTGCACCAAGAGATCACAGAGAAGAGTTATATTTGAAACATAAATTAAAGTTATTGCCAAACTTCAATACATAAATGAACCTTGGTTATGTACAATGTGAGGGTAGATAGTGTGGTAGACAGCTACAGGTACCTCGTTTCAAATGGATTTTTTTACCACAATATCTCAACAAGTAGCAAATTCCATGAACAAAAGATCGGAACACATTTAATACAATGTGACATTCTATTTGTCAAAATAAAACAGAATTGAAAAAAAATAACAACAACCTACAAATGAGTTTATAGAAGTGGATGAATATCATTGCTCAGCCCTGAGATGAAGTTCAATAATCAAACATCACAAATTTCTGGAACTTCAAGACCCAAGCAATATTCACATACCAGATAGACAAGAGAAGGCTATTTCTGAAAAATAAATATGATTGATCAACCCACAAATAGTAAAATTATCTTTGATGCTCATATAACATGTCATGATTAGAATCAACACCAAAATGAGCAGAATATCTACAAGCCCTATGAGGGGGGAAAAAAAAAAAAACAAGGATCACACAAGGCTTTTTCACAGCACAGCCTCTACTAATAGAATGATAAAAAAAGTACCGAGCAGAATAATCACAAGCTTTAATCCATACACCTTCGAACTGAAGAAGAAAAAATAAGAGGAGAAAGACAGAAAACTACTTGAGCATCTGATCTAGACTTTAGAAGCAGGGCGAGGTGCAGGTGCTGCCCCAGAATTCTGCTCCGTCAGAGGTTTGGGAGGGCCTCCGTTGCGCCCTCTTCCACCTCGTCGCCCCCGACTTTTCTTCCCTGAGCGTTGGCCGATATTCTCGCGTTTATCTGAGCTCACTTCCAGAGGGGTCTCAGGGACCTCATCGGTAGATGTCTGAGAAAGAGAGGACTGTAATAGTAAATTATTTCCATAAGAAAAAGGTTAAGATACATTGGCGTCAACTTCACCTACCTGATCTGATGCTTGCTGAGTGGTTCCTTGGCCTTGGCCTTGGCCCTGCCCCTGGCCCTGAGATGGTTGCCTGGACATCATTTTGTTGGGTTTAGAGCGAGCCGACTGATTTGCTGGGCCAGCAGAAGGAATTAACCTCAGGACGTTGCCCACAGCTTTGGTTCGACCCTCTCGAAATACCATACGCTGCCCTGGCTTAAGATATTCAGGGTGTTTTATGAACCTGAAGTGAACAAGAGCCTTGTCTCCAGTCCGCAGGCATTCTTCAGACATTGTGAGAATGCTTGCTGTTTGTCTGATCGAGCCACAGTGAACCATGGCTTGATAGCGGCTGCTAATGGTAGTAGGATGGTGCAAAACCAAAATTTCTCCTTCAAATTCCCAGCATGCTTGTGGATTTAAAGATGGTGACACCATTACCATACCCTTTCTGATTTGAGAACGTTTAATCTGCAAGCAACAAATTTTTCTACTTATGTTTGAAGGTAACAGGTAAAGAAAATTCAATCCAATCTGGAGAGCTCTTACCTTTTTAAGGGCAAATGAGGCTGTTTGCCCACCACGGACTTCTCGTACAGCCATACGTTTACGATGAATACTTTTTACTGCAATGGCTGTAAAATGTCCGAGTGGATCTGGACCAAGCATTAGTGTGTCATTTAGGCGAATCACACCTTTGAGGGCAGTGCCTGACACAACAGTACCAACACCCTAAAAGACAAATTCTGAATTAGAAAATTTTCTCCAATAAGAGGTGCAGATTGAACTTCATAATAAAATCATCTAATATTCTTACTGGGACAGAGTAAGTATCATCAATTTGGAACTCTGCAGGCTCATCATCTCGACTATAGGTGCGGGTGGTCAGAAGATTAAGGAACATTTTAAGCAAATCCAAATTTTCACCACTCACATTGGAAACTTGGAAAATAGGACATAATCTGGAACAAAAGAGATATTAGGGGTTAAACATCTGATTCATAATGCAATGAAATGAGCCAGAAACAAGAATAAAGAATACTCACCTCTCTGACACAAAGTTTGTGGCACTAACAATTACATCATCTGGAGTTTTGACCATCACTGGTACTTTGCGGCATCCAGGGGACTTCAGGATTCGAACAAGTAGACGCAGAGTATCTTGTAGAACATTTGGAGGACACATATCTATCTTGGTCACAACCACAAAAACTGGAACACTCAATGCTAGTGCTAAACCTAAATGTTCTTTGGTCATGCCAACAATTCCAGCATTTGCACCAACCTGAGAACCAAAATAAAAAATGTAAAACAGTACTTGATAAGATAAGAAAAACTAATGGGAAAAAAGAAGAACACAAATTTTTGGAAAGAGCTTTACCATTAGCATTCCAAAATCTGGTGCATGTCCAGTCATTCCAAATACAGTGGTCTTAAGGTAGCGTTCATGGCCAGCCAGGTCAATAAATGTAATCACTTTAGATGATTTTTCACAAATTTTAACCCAGTCAAGAGAGCCATGTTCGGGTTTATTAACAACATTACCTGTGTAAAATTAAAAACATAAGTAAGAAAGAGTAGTGTGTTTACCTAGACCACAGGGGAAATAAACTACTTACCAACACTATCAAAGCCCAGAATATCATTACCCACTGAACTTGTTCGACCTGATTCCATTTCATGTTTGTGACGAAATAGTTTTTGTCTTGCTGTTCCCCTGCCATTATCCAATTCACCATGAGTTAAGACACCAAGCAGAGTTGATTTACCAGCATCAACATTGCCTACAACAGCAACCCTATGCAAAGAAAAGTAGACATTAGAAACCACATGGAGATGCTGATGCAACATTAAAACAGAAATATGCAATGGTCTGATGCTTTCACCTTATTTCCAAGAAATCCTGTTGGTCAACTCTTCTCCGCACAAGGTATTGTCCTGTTTGACCCTCTTCACCCTTACGCTGGCGTAAAATAACACAGTCACATTCCAAAGTAGCAGCTAAGGATTGGAGAGTTGCCACAGCAGCGTCATATTCATCAGGTTTCAAGCCACTTTCTCCACCATCTACACAATGAACAGAAAAATTTTAAACAAATCAATAGATTTCAAAAAATTGCCTTTATTACACTAGAATAGGCAAATGACCTACGCACCATCACCCACTCCAATATCAAAAATAGTTTCTCCTCTGCCCTCTTCCAGGCGTTGTGATAACCGCTTTTGAAGAAGATCAAACTGCTCCTCTGTGGGGCTCACAAGAACAATCTAGAAGAAAACATAAGGAATTTAACTTGCGAATACACAAAAGAACCATCAAGTAGTACAAGGCAAAGTTTGGTGTTACCTTTGATCGGATGCTGGTGAAGTCAGGTCCATTTTTGGGAGAGACATCAGCTGCTGATGCAAAGAGGTTGGAGGCAGTTTCTGCCTTGTTTGGGGTTTGATCTAATACTGCTGACATTTTTTTTTCTCCTTACTTAATTTGAAGAGGTGCAGTATGATGCAACTACACTACGTAATATTGTAAAAATATAGAAAGAATTGAGAAGGTTTTAAATCTTTACACAAAATATATCTTTAATATTTTAAAGGATTTAAAATTTCTCGTAATGCACATAAAGAGTGCCTTAATAGTATTGTATTTTTAAATAATGAATAATGTAATAACGACATTAATGACATTAATAATTAAAATGGAGACAAACACTCCCCTCGCTTTGCTCCTCAAACCACCAAATTTAGCACGTTCTGTAAAAGAGAGGGAAAAGTCAATGAGCAAAGAACAGAGGGAAAAGTCAATTTGCGAAGAACAATCAGTAAACGAATTCGCACTAATAAAATTTTTGCCAAACAGGAAAACCTATTTTGAACCTCAGATTACTTGTGTCTAATGACGATCCAAACGTGTTAAGAAGGAAAGACAATCATCAGTAAGACATGAGTAGGGGTTTGACACACCAGTCTCTTTCATGACAAGCACTAATTATACTTTTACAACTAACTTCTGTATTCTTCCCAAACAGATGTTTAAGGTTATGGCTTGCCGACGGACACAGAAAGAAAATACCGGCGATCGGACTCAGGTATATAAACAGTTAGATAAAGAGATCTTAAACAATCAACCTCAGGTTCAAATACCTAACGGTCTGAGAATAAACAAACCAGACGCTGTCAATGTCAACAAGAGTAACCTTTGTGTACAAATACGTACGCACACGACAGCGAAGTCGGCGTACGGTAACACGCAAATGGTTCCCAGCCCAAGCAACTTGTCAGCAAGGAAACACTTCGGTAAGCAAAGTGAATACGGAAATCTCTGAGGCTATCAACACGATAGAACTGGCACAAATAGAAGCAAAAGTGTCATCATCTGCTTTTGGCTGGCACCGACTCGCGAGGCCATCACGTCACCAAACCCCATTGATTCCACTTTTCTTTTCATTTAACAGAACTGCCACCAGTTATGAAGAAAGCATTCCACAACTTTAATTCATAACCAACCAACTTGGAGTCTTGAACTCGGTAAAAACCGCCGAGTATATCCTTTATCTCGCGCTGTGTAATTGCTCTAAATGTGTGCAACTTTCACGAGTTCACTTACAACGTGGCAGCACTGATCGTCCGGCTCTGCCGCCGCACGTTTCAAACTCTAGTGTGGTGGGGGCCCTGGGTCTGTTCTCCTCCCGGTGAAAGTGACTTCCCTCCACAACATCTGGACAAAGTTGATTGATTCTTGTCAATTTTTGCAATACCGCCCCCCTCCCTCCTCCAAAGTTTAGAAGTAGGAGCTGACAATGTGGGAGAGATGCATAAGGAATAAAACGCCAACAGATGAAAAGAAAACGTACATCTTCATTTCACATAAGGACACAACAGAAGCAAATTGGGAACGAAAACACGCCTTAGGTAACAAGCGGGTAGCACCCTGATGAATCAAAAAGATGTTTCTACATGATGACAGGTGGTGGAAGCATATGCTTCGGATACTTTATAAAACTATCATTATCTTAATTCTGCAGCTCTCGGCCACATGGAGAATCATAAAACAAAAAGATCATTGATCACATAATAAAGATAAAATAATTGATAAGAAACTAAAACTTTTCCAAATTGTTTAGGAAAACTTGATAGAGGGTTGACAAATCCATATTGAACACAAACATAATTCTGTTCCTACAGTAATTTTCCCCCTTCGAATCAGGAACATTCTGGATCACCAAACCATTTGAACCATTTGGAACACCAAAACTAAATCATAGGTTAATAATTTGTTTTTAAAATGACTGAAAAACAGAATTTCAATTTGAGGAATCACAAAAACAGAATTGTTTCCTGAAATACAATCACCATAAATTTTTCTAAGCAGAAAAATCTGAGTTTTCAAGGAACTCAAGCTATATTGCCAGTGCAGTTCATTAAACAATTAAAACAGTATCCTGCAGGATGAATACAATACACAAAATCAAAGGTACCTGGGACAAAATTTACAGTAAGACAGCAAAAGTAAGTATGAACCCATGCTACTTTTGTGTCATCACTAGCACTAGCATAATTGATAAGTCTTAGACAACTCTCTTCCTTCCATTCCCCTGCCGCGCTGTGCTTTTCAGCATTAAGGCAACGGACACTCTGTTGCTAGACTGGGGACAATGTGAAATTGTATGAGCGAAGTCTCCTGTGGCTCCACAAATAGGGCATCTAAAAATGAGAGTTGGAGAATGAGAACTGAATACATAACAAGCACATCAGGATCGTAAAAAGAAACTGACTTACTTCACACTTCTAAGAATTGGGCAGCTAACCCTCTTCCCTTCATCCGTCACTTCATGCAGTTTGTGGTCCATGTAGACTTCCGGCCTCTCGCCGTTTTTCTTACAAAAACTGCAGCAGGGTTTGACAGCTGATAAAAGAAGGTAAAAAATTAACAAGAAGCCTTTTCAAAACTGTCACATTAACCAAATCAATTTGAATCTAGACAAAATGTGAGTAATTAAAACTTAGTGTTTACTTGCCTGAAGTGCCTGGCCATAAAGGTCTAAGAAACCCATCTGGTTTAGAGGATTTCAGTTGAACTCTGTCGAAGAGAAACATATGTTTAGAAACTCAAATGCGTAGCATATGGTAAAATTCTTTTAAGTGAAGCATACTAACAGTGTTGTGATGAGATGAACATCAGGACTCAAACATTGTGCCCTGAAACAAAATTAGTAAGTGTTGACAAGCTGCTAAAGCTGAAGAATGAACAAAAAGCGAAGTAAAAAGGCACCCACGTGGTTCTGATCGTGTGATTTGCTGCAGAACTCTCAACTTCCCTCATATCTCCTGGTTTCTCAGGAAGCACCAGTGGGACAGACAATGTTCGTCCATAGCATGAACCATTTGAAACAGGCAATTTCATGGTGAGTTGCATTTCACTCCGACATAGACTCCGAGTGCCCACAGGCACAGGTCCTTCATTCGAGTCTACCAAAACAGATAATTCAACAATATCCATGAAAGAAAGACAAAATCAATAATCAAATCATTTCGTTATCGGTCATTTACACCCAAAATATCTGGACTTCGTCGCGAAAGTTTCACGAATGGAGGAAAGCAGGGGGTGGGGAGGGGGGAGGGGGAGGCGCCCCTGAGAACGTAAACAAACCAACTTTCCCACGGTCATTCCATGGGCTCGGAAGCCCCCAAAAGGGCCGAATGCTTGAGGGCAAGCTATTTCAATCATGCAAGTTGACATAATCACCAAAAAACTGATAAAAGTTTAACATTTACTAGGGAAAGGAAAAGGAAAGACGCAGTAAACGCACAGAAATATTGGGTGGCGAACACACACACACACGTACACATACACCCACGATACAAACATAACACACAACGCGATAAAATGGGTATGCAAAGTAAATACAACTTACCATGGTATCTGAATGGATCCATGATGGAACGGAAAAGTAAAATTGTGGTTGCGCAACCAAAGTCAGGAGGCAAGGAATTCGTCCAAGCCGGAGCGTGGGAACGACGATAGGAGAAGACGCAAACTGACTGACGGGTTCGGTCCGGTGGGTCGAGTCAGCTGCGCCGCTGCACCCCGGTGGTGGGGTGCGGAACTGCCGGCGCGTCGTCTGCTCTTCAAAGACTTAGCCGCTCCGCCCCTATCAGTATGGTAAGACCTTATACTTAGAAAAAAATAAAAAGGAATAATGAGATATGAGGAAAAGATTCGATGTTTATTTATCACATGTCAAAGTACATGGCCAAAAATGATTTTAAAATAAAAACAAGAAGAGGAGCCAAAGCAAAAGCTACCTAGGCAAATATTTTCCCCTCATTTTTCTTCTTTGAACTTTAGCCTTGGCAAACATAACTATCAAACTTTAGTAGTGTAAAAATCCAGACATTTAATCACAAACCAATTTTTCTGAAACTACTTTGAAGTGATTCAAGGTATGACGAGGTTTTTTAAACACTCAGCTATTGTATCTAATTTGTGTCCACAAAATCTTGATTTACATTTTGTCAACAGTGCAATTCATTTCAGTGTTTGAAACCATTTGGTTGGACTGAGATAAGAAGTGCAACCAACAATAGATAAAAAATTCATAACATGTGCTCTGTACAGTTTTGCTTTTACAGTATCGAGAAAAATATGTTCAAACAAATATTCTTAAAAACAACATAGGCTATTTAACTGAAACGTGGCAAGATCTTGACATAAAAAGATTCCGTAAGCCATTGACTGCAATCTAACCACTTGCATTTTCAGTACAGCCCTACTACTGTAAACCAATTTCCACAGGTGTTCAAATCAACTTGCAGTCATCTTATTTCATTAACATGATAAGAAGCAAAACAATCTCACTTTCATTCAAAGATGAAGAGATCCTTACGACATCTGTCTAATTCCACTAACAGTTAGTAAAACTGCTATCTTTCAATCAGTCATGCAGTGTATAATTGGGAGCAACGTAAAAAAATCTTACTCAAAATGAGATGCCACATAAAAGATTGGGATCAAGACATTAATCTGTGGTAAAACAATCATAAAAAACAAACAAGAAGCCAGTCAATTTCTCTGGAATGGAAAATAAAACAACAGTAAAACAATAAGTACAACTAAAAAACTTACAAGAAAACAAAACAAAAAAATGCAAATTCAAGGAATGTACATTTAAATAAATAATGACAGGCGGCCTAAACTAGCAATACAGTTTGGGGAAACTGCTGTTTAATTGGCAATAACAGAAGTCCATCCGATATGGGCTCACCAGATTGGTTGGTTTGTTTAGACAATTAGTTTTAAAAATATCCGAAATTAAAGAAATTTGTGAGGAGATTACAGGTACAAAATAAATTAATTCAATTTCAAGATGATACTTCCTAACACACAAAATATTGGTAATCTGTAATTCCATTTAAATACAATGAGGTAGATATTACCACTATTCACACAGGGACTGTTGATTGAAACTTTGTCAATCTAGGAAAACTTTAATCATGAGCCTGCAACAGTGCAGATAAAATAAACATTCAACTCGACTTCAGGTCAGGAAACATACAATAAAATCTGCACCCAAAAAGGGATACAGCTTCAAATATTCGAATGTTTTGTGCTACTGCTGAAGCCCACAAGCAACTTTAAAACAAAATATAAATAAATTTGAAAATTTAACAGATCACCATGATATAAATTTGCTTAGACTAAGCTAATAAGACACCAGCTGAGATGAAGCTCACAAAATTTCATGTTGGAACGTTTTAAAGCTTTAAACTAAGATCATCATACATAATTGGCATAAGGTTGACAAAAGATGTGAAACTCTCACTACTCGTGTTGAACGTGCTGAACTTCGAAGAGCTTCACACCAGTGTCGTACCAGATAGGTGGATCAACATTCCTAGAATTATGAAAGAGTATTTCATCACACATTTCAAAAACAGAGATTTAAAAAATTCATGAAACAACTTATGAAAAGAGAAATTTAATTACCTGAGGTAAATAATACCCCACATATATGTTCGCAACCATGTACTGGTTCCAGAATTCGTTTGATATTTGCGAATAAGAATTGGATGGGGAACAGGAAGCAAACCAACAAGAGTTCCATGCTGAAGAAATTTCAATATTTCGCTTTCATCTGTTAGGTCTCTGTAATGGACGAACAATTATTTGATGTAAAATACTAACAAACCACTCTTCTAAGGTACTTGAAAAAAAAAAAAAAAGGCATACTTGTCAATGCAAATTTTCTCTACTTGGGGCACCAGAATCTGTAGCAATCTCATGATATTCTGAAGAGGAAGTTTGGTCTTCCAAGAGCGAACCCACTCAGCTGTTGGTACCCAAGTATAAGAACCATCTTCAGCTCCTGCTGCTCCAGTTGCATCAGTAAGACGAATACTCTGGCGCTGAAAATAATTTAGATGATTGAGAAACTTTCTTAAAAGTTTGATCACAGGTAAAAACGGGAAGTAAGCGAAATATACAGAAAGAGAGAAAAAAGAGATATACCTGGTGAACTGATCTTTGCAAGGGACTTCTTGCGCTAGTTTCGATCGTAGAGCTTGATGAGACTGGAGTAGATTTCTATAAAATTAAATTGGGAAAAAAAATTTGTATAAATACCACTTATAAATTTCAATTGTTTGACATTGTGTCTAGATCACAAACTAACAAGGTCTTCGCTAGGCCCTTCCATGCCATCTCCTTGACGAGTTGGAGCATTTTGATCCAGCAAGGGACTTTCATTAGCAGGAGTGGGTTCAGGTGCAGCATCCCCACTTTGACTTGCAGCTGGATGAGCTGACTCTCTCTCAGTCATATTTTCAATGCCTGTAGTAAATAGATAAAAGAGGAGGTTAAAAACATTAATTGCACACTAATAGTAATATTTGGTCAGTGAGCCATGATAACAACATACCAGGAGTGTCCGGTAAAGAAACTTTCAGAGTTCCAGGTTCAGCTGGCTGTGCGGGGCGTGAACCCTCCATACTTGGAGCTTCAGGATCAGACTGGCCAGCTGAGTCAGGATTGGCGGAAACAGTAGGAATGTGGCGGCGAGGCTTTTTGGAAATTGTTTTGTTAATAGTCAAATGATCAGTGGGCAAACTTGCCAGGGAATGGAATACTTGACGTTTCCTAATTATGGTGTACACCAGGTTGGAATTTCCTATGAGACAAGAGGTATATCATTTAATTAAATTGATCAGAATAATAATCATTTCACATGAAGCATGTCTTACCATCAAACTGGTATTGAATGATGTTGTTGAAAATTTCCAAGAGGAAGAAAACCAGTTGGTGCTTTGTAGGTGATGAAAATAAAAACCATGGAGTACTGAAAGCCTCAAGAAGATGTAGAAGCTTTGTACTGGCTACCATTGAGAGAGTTTTGAGGTATGGAGACACTGAAAACAAAAACATAAACTAACTACAGTCCAGTAAATGAATTTTGTTGTTTTTGCTTTTTTAAGTGTTGTATGTTTAAAATACCATTCACAAGAATAGTTAAAAGGCAGTCAAATAGTGGCTGCAGTCTTTGATGTCCAGTTGAAATAATTTTGTGAAATACAGTGATCACTAGATCACCATGAGTTCCTGGATGGATAAAATTGCATCAAGTTAGAAATTAGGTTTTTCATTTACTATTCTATTTTTATTCTATTTGTTTTGTTGTCTCACCTGTAAAGACTGGTATATCCATTGGGATGGTTGCTGTATAAGGTTTATTGAGACGAACACCGAAGTTTCGGTAACCACTCAACAAGAGCAAGATGAAAACTCCAATGTGCATCAAACCAACACGTGCTGGGGGGGAAAAAAAGATGTCAGTTAAGGCCAAAAAGTTCTAAGATTTTAAGTGAACAGTGGGACAAATCCTACTTACACTGATCAGCACGAGAATCATTCAAGTGGAACAATATGGGCACTAGGATGTGTAAAACGTCATCACCTTTCAAGACATAGTACAGGAATTTCTGGGGAGAATGAAATACACATTATACAAAGAAATAAAATAAAAATTATCTGAATCACAAAAATGTAATTTTTTTACCTTGTTGTAATCACACATTTTCCAGAAAAATACGAGCAGCTCTTGGTGAAATTGGACCTTTTTTGTGGAGTTAGGTAAATATGTCTGCATTAAGGGATTGTTAAGGAGGCGAGCAAAGCCTTTTAAAACAAACTGGAAATCTTCATCACGGTGAATACGGCTCAAATAGTTAATAAAAAGGTTGTCCGGGACAGTGGTTTGCTGATTGATACAAACATTATTTTTTAAAAGTTTTCTGAACAAACTGTAAACTGTAGCATTTTTTTAACACAAGCAGCTTTCTTACCTCATCCTGTACAACAGTGTTACTCAGGTCATGATCAAGAGTAACAAGGAGTAGCTGAAGTGCTACATCCACAAGAGGCTCCATGGAGTCACTAAATATTAAATGATTGTAAGGAACACCCAAACCAACAGGATCATAAGCGCAAACAGTATTCAAAAGAGAGGTAAATAATGGAAGAGCATGGCGATTTTCTGCAGAGGTGAGGTGTTGGATCCAGCGGTTTGGTGCTGGTGAGGCTTCTGAAAAAATTATTATTTCTGTCAAAACCAAACTTATGTTATTTGAAAAATAGAATATGCAAGCAAACCTGACCTTCCGGCTGATGATATATAGTTTCGCTGAAGCAGGTCAACAGCAATTTGAGAAGTTCTGTGCGGTTTGAATCATACTGAGGATGATGAGGGGGGGTTGTAGCACAGCCCACACCTGACTCCCATATATATTCGCAGCTGTCAATGGCTTGAAGATCCTCTGCTTTATCCTGAAACAACCATTGAAAAAAATCAACAACAAGGCGATTAAAGTACCTGAAAACATTAACATGAAATCAAAATTTAGGAAAGACATAATAATAATAATTGTCTTACAGGGCCAGCCTTTTTGTTGGCAGCAACAGTGAAATCTGGGCAGAATAGAAGATCCTGAAATTGGGAGCGGTAAAATTACAAGACTTGTTGGGGGTGATGTGTACTAGTTAAAATTCTGAACAAGTACTCACACAAATTGCATTGATCAAAGATACTGCTAATGGAGAGGACTCGGTTTCTTCTCCTTCCTGAGCCTGGCCAGCTGGGAGGCTTGACCAGAAGAATCCTCTCCAGTCTAAATCCTCAAACATGCAGGGCAGGACACGGGTAAGCAGGCGACAGCAGTTAAGAACTGCAGATGAGGTGGAGGACAAAAATCAATCATGGAACATAAATGAAAGTAATATGGAAACTATGCACTTCTCCAAAGAATGAAGTGTTTGAGAAATTTACCTGTCTGCTGATCATGTTGGGTTCGACAGCTGTTGTCCACTGCCCTCACAAGTTTTTCTACTGCTTTATAGCACAAAGTGGCCAGGTTTTGAGGAGATTCCTCTCTAACCATTCTTATCTCAGCTGCTGGTAGTAAGGTGAAGACATCTTGCACTGAAGCTGTGTGCTCAGACCATAGTTGATCCCAAAAAGTATCATCAGAAGAGTCAATGGGCTGAAATATGAAATAAAATCAGTTTGATTTAAAAAAATTGATTAGAGTTAATGAATGTTGAGGCAAGAGAGATTTTTGCATGAGGTTTTTATGAAACTGATTTCCTTCACTAGACTGTTTTTGGCTGTTTGTGTTAGCTTGGAGCACATTGAGTTGTTGAGGCAGTTGAGTTCGTAGTGATGGTGGACAACAATGGAGTAGGGTCGTAATAATAAACAAACAAAATAAACTGAGTTCTCAGATTTACATCACTTTATTTTTTTGCCAGTTTTAAAAACACTCTTTGATTGTAACCAGTATCTGTGAGCAATCAGGCCAATGACAACAATGTCAAAAACTAATATACATTCCCAAAAAGGAGGGGTGGGGACAAATGTACATTGGAAGTCAATACAGATGATTCTCTGCTAATAACAAGCAGGCAAATTGGTAGAATGTAAAGCGTTTCTCAAAGCATTGATACTTAGAGACAAATTGAACCAAATTTACCTCCATTCTAATGTATGAGTTTTCAAACTACTACGGATATACACAATGAAAGCCGTTTTTCTTTTATTCTGTACTACACCATCCAGGAGGTGAGTATAAATTAAACATAGGGAACAATCATTTCTCACTCAGTCAATCAATAATATTCCCCAAGCTCTATACAATGCATGTCACCAGAAATGCGCACTGGGAGTTGTAGCAAAACACTTTGGAGTTCTAGCTTCCTCCAGGTAAAAAGACTTACAACACTGTACTAGTCAGTTAACACCCACCTACTAGTAGTTGATGACACATTGAGTTGGAGATCACTACCACACATATCAAGAAGTGCCAGAGAATATCATTATTACTATTATTATAAACCCTGTAAAGTGACTAGTAGGAAGAAATAAAAAGAAATGCACCAGCACACCAAAGCTACATCTGACAGCATGAATAACCAACAAAAAAATAAAATTAAATCTCCCAGAATTTGTGAAAATCTCTCTCCTAACCACAAAAGAAAATGTCAGAGGCCAAATAAAAACCAGCAGAAATGATATCATTCGATTATATATAGAACAATTACCTTGAAACAGTAAAGTCTTTGGTAAGGATAGAAGCATTACATGGCAGGCAGCTTCCAAGATCAGACAAATATCACACTTTAAACAAAATGCTAAAATGCCACAATATGCACACACACCAAATACCTCAAATATGTAGGAATGAAAGATGAAGAAAACATTAAGGAAGAAGAGAAAGGGGGAAATCAAAGTCCAGTCGGAAAAGTACTCACTCCCAGTGCACATTTTATGAGTAAAATTGACATGCATGGATTAAGCCTATCACATTTTCACTCATTATCAGACATGCTATGCTCCTAACAGACTACAAGCGCTTAAGGGGACAAAGGGCTTACAACAAGTAGAACCCCACACTGGATCAAACCTAAAATTCAAATAAACTGAACAAGACAAATGGATCAATACCAGGACTACCAGAATCATGGATTTGAATAATCAAAAATATTTTTTGTATCAAAACGTCTTGTTCTGGTGTTATTTGCAGTTAGCACAAATTTGAATATTGATAAATATAATGAGCACTAAGAAATTTTAACAAAACAGTTTGTCCTATACTGTTTTTATCACAATGCAATACAAAACTGACTTAATACACAGAATATTTTACAGCTCAGCTGTTTCTCCTCCCAATTATTATGGAAACACAATTATTACTGATCAGTACAAAAAAGACTTCAATATGTCCAGACTCCAGGGCTAAAGGTAAGCCTAATCAATGAACATTTTACTGCCATCACCATACACACAAACGCTAACAAGCAAAACTGAACAGAACACAGTAACAACAACAAAAGAAGCTTGCTACAAACTATGCTGAAATCCTCTATAAGAAGAGGCATTTTAATGTTCAGTAATAATAATAGGACGAGTATTCTTTAGTTAAAACACGGTGAGGCACAAAATAATCACATAAAATATTTAAGGCAATACAGACTGACATCATTCACTCATAAATAAACACAAAAACAATTATTCCCACCCTCTAGTTGATTAAAAAAAGGTGTGATTTAACAACCCAAGACAAGTTCCGCAACCAAAGACAAAGGAACATTAATAATAATAAACGGAGTAAATTTCATGTTAACTTTGATAACTATAATTAACTTTGTGGTACAATGGCACACACAGCCACATAATATAAGAGAATAAGAAAACTGCAGCTTTGTTTCAGAGTTAAAATATTGATTGTCCTCAGAGCGCCACATTATACCAGTCAAAACTCAACAATAATTGACAGCGATTGACACTCATCATATTTGGTTTCAAAGAAGGAACAAGTAAGTAAATAAGAAATTGTGCCTCTTTGTATGCTATTACATTTTTTCATTTGTAGACAGCAAACACTGCATCAAATACAGCGAATTGAATAGATAGCTGTGGCCTTAAGTAACCAATACCCCTCACCTTGGTATAGTCAGTAAACAACAACCAAAAACTTGATACTTGATTGTCAAGAGGAGCTGGCACTAAACATATTAATTAACATTAATCTATGGCAAGTGCACCTCATAGGAAAACGTTTAAACAAACAAGAAAAAACAAACAAACGAAAACTCTGTTTCTAAAACTGAGCAAAGGGAACATATGCTAGGATGTATTAATTAGAGTTTTAAACCAGAAGACTGCCAATGCACACATTAATTTACATGTTCAGAGAAAGTAACACATTGTAGGTCCTTGGCAGTAATAATGTACGGATAACACACCATTGTTCTAGCAGTGATGGTTAGAGAAAGAGCCCCATGCCCAATTTACTCATTGAAAAATATATTGTATTAAAGAATAAGTAAATAAACTAAATTTATAACACTCATAACATACGTCCTATCGCAGGGTACAAATTCTTCTCAGTACAGACCCCATGACCTTTAACTACAGCATAAGAAAGTAAAGTATTTACATGCTAATGGTTCCTGGAATAAGCAAAAATAATTTCACTCACTTCTCAACATTGTCGAGTAAGAAGCCCATATACACAGCTACAAAGAATAAGTAGGACCAATCACTATGCATCTTCCATTGCCAGAGAAAAACTGTTTTTGAACTAGATTGTACAGTATGGAGATAAGGATACAAGGTTGGGAGAGAGTACATACCCTCAACTAAGGGTCCAGATGTGGTCTGAAAATTGGTCATAATGTATTGGTCATGCATTGTTATGATTGGCATTTTCAAGTTTCAAAAGAAAAAAAAACAACACAAACAAACCTGTGCAATATTTTTTCTTTTTTAGGAAACCCTTAAAACACCTAGATATGTTGGAAGATAAGAGAAATAATTTGGCGGGCTCTTTGCCAAGGCTTGCACAGAAACAACAATGATCCCACTATTTAACGCAGTAAAACCAATGCCCATGTACTTTCCCTGGATATGAAGATAGCATAAGTATCTGTCTCTCTAGCACACCAAAAAAATAGGGGGCGGGGGATTACTTGACACAAATTAATCACACGGGTTAGATCACACACTTGTATACAAGCTCACACTCAATCATTTGCTCAGCTCTCACTCTTTACAGTTTCGTTTCCGAAATAAAAACCAACAATGGATGATCAAAAGCAACAAGACAAAATTGAGATCAAAGCATACCAGTCAAGCTACTTTAAATTTAGGACAGCCAAAAAACTTTGACAAAGAGTTTGATATAAGAGTACATAACTTACACTAATGCATCTTGCACATGTGCACACTGTGGTTTGAAGCCACATTCATCACACCTGTACACAATATGGCATAAACTTTTGTACTAAAGAATAGGCATTTTCAAATTCTTGTGCAAGAATATGACTCAAAGGACATGAAAACTAATGTTTGATTTTATAGTAATACCTCTATACATAAAGCTTTGAGTTCCCAGTACTAAATTCTTAATACTGCTCAGGTAGATTAGTAGAAATCAACAAGTAGGAATAACAATATAACACTCTCTAATCCCTAGCCCAAACATTTTTATTTCATTCTGCATGGGTTTAGGTATTGAGACCACAACACATGCCTCCCAGCCAATGTTAAAAGAAGTTGCAGTAATGACATAAGAACACTAAGGTACAAACACGGAGGTACATTGCAAGAGGGAGACTTCAATACTGAATAAATACTGAGCAAATACAGTTAACTTCTAGTAGAGAACATTCCAGATCTCAAAATTTCGCTCAAGACTAAAGAGAGAACGGAACATAAATTAAAGCTCAATTGACGATCACAGTGATCCATCCTTACAATTTGAACGTCTCATTCACTTCCGTAAGTACATGAGAGAAGTAGCACACTGTGGACAGAGGGAGAGGAGCGGCTAAAATACATAGAAGTAAACAGTTCAGAATGGTTCCACAAAGGCAGCAAATTTGTCAACTTCTTCTTTTGAAAGAAAAGCATAGGAAATATGAATGCTGAACAATAACGTCTCACATTTCATTTTAAAAATGACATACAAAATTGAGTTTTGTCAAACAAGTGTATTGTCAGCACATTATTCGATCAAACAAACTTGACAACTGTTTTTTCCCTTTTTATACAAGTAGAAAAGTATTGCAAGTCCATCAACATGTCCAGTAATTGACTACAAAAATCTTACTATGCTCAAGAGTAAACTGATGTGTGTTTTTCTTAACTAGTGGTCACTACCATTAGTCAGGAATTTCATCCATAAAAAATCAGTAAATTATAAATGTTTTGGGGGATAGGATGGAAACAGGTACTCACATTTCTACCCAAATGCTGGAATGACAAACCACAGCCCTCCAGTATTGGTAAACTGGACGGTTCTCTATCTTTAAAACATGCCAGGTTTGCTTAAGTTTTGTTTTTAATTACGATGTGTAAATTTATCAAATTTGAACTACACTCTTGCTGCATAAGTGACATTTAGCAAGAGAAGTTGACAATATGGATGAATTAAACAATGCACTAACAATAATAAATTACAGTACACAATAAACACATTTT